CTGTGAACTTAAATTGAGGCAGAGTTGACTTTTGGTGGCTCCTCAGCAGCGGCTCTAGCCTGTATGACTCCCTTCAATGCGCGGCAGCCTGCACGGGGGCTTTCGGTTTCCCTGTTGCAGCTCCTTCAAGCACCCTGCTCCTGTTGGGTTCACTTCCGTTGTCCAAGTTCTTTGTTCTTTGCTTGTGGTTGCACTAAGCGAGCACATAACTTCATTTCTTTCAAACGAAGCAGGTACGTTGTTGGAAGGCTTTCTGTGGCTGCTTAGGAATGCAGGTTCCTCTGGCGTTACTTCGTGATCCACCATGGACTGCACGCTAGGGCGAGTTGAGATAGCCCCAACCTTCATAAGATATGAATCCTGATTAAGTGATTTCTATTCAGCCGACGACGCAGGACTTGAACCAATATGCTCTTGGAGCGTCAAATTCCATCATGTGCGGAAGCCTCATCTGTCGGTTGTTTACTTGCTGAGTGGCTATTTGACCTGCGGCCACTAGCCCGAACACGTTGTGCAACGCACATTGACCGATGCGCTAGATGAGACGTCATGCTGCCACTGCCTAGAGACCACAAAACTGCAGAACACTCAACCTCATCTAACAAGGAGCATCCGTCTTCTCTAAACAATCAGCATCGAAGCTCTTAGTCCTCGGAACCCAACAAACGAACTCTCCGGCGAAGTCTTCCGTGTGTCTTGTTTCCACCGGCACACTCACGGCCCCATTAGGATGAAGGCTACATATCGGACTATCATCCAAGGCTTGCTCTATGATCGCTTAGGTCCTCGTTCTCTGAAATTTGAGCTTCTTCTTTATTTCCTACATTCATGCCTTGGCTCACAAGCCTATGCTATTGCGCTATGCATTAACCTTCCAGTAGACCTTAGATGAGCCACTTCTTGTCTACACTGGGACTTTTGCGAAGCAGAACCTCATTTTCTTCGATCAACCAATCTGTTGAAAGATGCGAGTGCTTCATCCTTCTCCATTCTTTCTCAGATGGCTGTTACGCTGCTCTCGGCATAAACCGATAAGTCAGAGCTTCTATGAAGGGTTGTAGCGTAATAACTTTTACAAGCAAACGACCATCTGCATGAATACAGACACCATTGGAGCACTTTTCCATCCAACGAACATGCATCGAGGAAAACTTGGTTCTCTGTATCTCGGGGGTACAAAGCGGCGTACATCTCTAACCGGCTGGTGAGAAGGTCGAGTCCTGGTGCATCCTTACGGCCTTCTGGTCGAAAGAACCTCATCGACGCACTCACAAACACCTCTCGACTAACAAACCATGCCCTCCTACGAGCTGGAGAGCCCCTTGTCACCATCGGTTTGCAGGATGACCTCTGCCACCGCTACACGGGCTGCATTGCTGCCAATTTCCATCGCCAGGCTTCTCTTTCTAGGACTGTTTCCCAATGAAATTGGACTATCCACCTACTTGTTGAGTTGATGGAATTGAAACAATTGTTTTCGGTAAACCTGACTACCCGCTGCATCCAAAGCCAATGGATGAGCGGGGGAAACCATCATCAAACGATGCGTCGCTTTCATTTTAAAGCTGCACTGAAGGTGTTCGCAGGAAGACAATAAGCTAAAGGCTCAATACAAACTCAAGAGAAATTTATTGAGTGTTTTCTCAAGGAACTGTCCTATCCTCCCTTTCACGCGTCTCAGAGTTCCCGACGCAAGGGAGACGGACTGCGAGGTTACAGCTCAAAGCTCTGACACCTACATTCACAGGGCCCATAGAGCACATGCGGACATAATGTGTCTTTGGATATAAAAAAAATGCAGAGCCAACAAAACTCTACAACTATAATGCAAATAGACAAATCAATTAACCGATTCTTCACTGTTTCCGAGATAAATCAAACCGGTGTAGTAGAAAGTTAATGTGTAGCTTAGACAGTTCCACCTCATGTCGGGACCTCTGAGGGGTCACGGAAAGGGAATGGGGGAGCTCCTTCAAAAGTACCCAGTTACTTTATTATTTTTGCATGAAGCGTGGATCCAAGTGTCTGTCCCAGAGTGGACCGGGACAATCAGCTGCAGATTTTGTTCTCATCCAGCGTGCATTTACCGTATCTGCATATGCCATTGGGGGGGATTTGCACATGCGCTTTAAGCGGATTTTTCAGTGGCGTCGACGGCACACAACGACCTACAGTGAAGCGTATTTGAGCGTATCCCGGCCATACAGGCCCGGCTTTAACGGAGGGAGATATGGAGGAAAGCAACTAGAAAAATAACGGACTGTATGCGAGCGAGTGTACTTTTGCAAGATACTTGCGTTTCAAAGAAAAAACGTCCATATTCGCTATGCATTCCAAACACAGGCCGCAGCCGACTGGTGCCGTCGGTTCCTGCATGCAGCAGGTGGCGACAGAATTTTTGTGCTTCCGATTGAATTCATAATGGATAAATTTGATATGTGTTCTGTATTTGTCTGATATATGGAAGCAACCCTGCGTAGTATAATCTTCCTCATGGCATGCCTCTCTCTCTTTCAATGCAACACCGAACAGACAGCCAATTGAATTAGCAGTGGCCAAAGCCAGTTTTATTTCTCTCCGTTTGCTTTCTTGCCATCCTTTGGCTTATTCTTTGCACAATTTCTGCCTCCTGTCGTCTTACCACCCTCCTTGTGCGTGCCTCATGCGGGGTGTATCGTAGTCCATGGTCTCTCAAGGGCCCTCGGGCCCCCAGAAGTCCCTTGAAAACCCTACACATGATTCCTTGGGGTCTGAAGAGCCACTAAGAGTCCTCGTGGTAGGGGATGCGGCTTCAGGCAAGACAGCGCTGCTGCAGCTGCTGCAACAACATGCCGCAGAGCTGGCGCATGCCTGCATCGCGCAGCAAGACGAAGACAAAGGCTCCGCCGCTGCCACGGGTATGGCCTTCAACCCGCGTTCCTCAGTGTAGCCTCCCTAAGACGGGGCGCTAATTGCTCTGGCACTGTTCGTTTCGATACGCAGGTGCTGCACTGCCGCACTCTTTGAAACGGGACGGCTCCTGTTCTTCGGCAGCAGCTGCGGCCTCCTCAGCACCACCATCCGAAGAACTCGCTTCTTGCGCGCCTTCCCTACCCGCTCTTTTGGGCTACCGGCGAACCTGCGGGGTGAACGTTGTACCCCTGAGATGCGCAGATCCCTCAGGAGAAATGCGACTGGTAGAGTTCTGGGAGATCGGCGGCTCCAGTGCGACGAAAGCTACCAGACCTCTTCTTTACGCTCTACCTTTCGATGGCAAGTTGAAAAGGCCAGGATGACTCAGATTCGGTAGTGAGCGACCCCTTCGAGAGGGCCATTGTCTCCGAAGTGCTTGCCAATGCAGTTGTGTGCCGGCTGTTTCGGCGCATTGTGACTGCGCTCAGGGGTCTGGCTGGCGTACGACAGCAGCAATGAAGCGGCATACAGAGCATTGCCTGCCTGGTTGCTGGAGTTATGCATGCGCGCGGGCACCCGGCCGTCTCAAGTCTTTTTCGAGAAGACGCATCAGCAAGAACAGCCCCCACTACATCAGATGGAGGGGCAGCCCAGTCAAAGCTTTGAAACTGATGTGGAGATGCAGAAGCATGGTAAGCTCTCAGAGCAGCCTCATTCCTGTATTCTGATTCTCCCTCCAGCTACACGAGGAACCAGACACTCTCCTGGTTGCCTGCCGCTCCGAGGTTCCCTTCTGCCCCCATGTTGGGCTTCGCATGCAGCAAACGTAATTTCCCCGTTTTTTTCCAGCCTTCATGCGCATCTATTTCTTGCACCATTCTGCCCTTGTCGACTGCACTCCGCACACACTTGCGACGTGTGGCACCCTTTCGCGTCACCCCCCCGCTGCCTCTTCAGGGAGCAGCTTCTGGGGATGGCGTCTTCGCTGCGGCCTCTGCCCCGTCCTCACTGTCGCAACGAAGGCAGACAAGGGTAATCAGGGGACCTCTTCTTCTCCTATTAACTTCACACGACGCGTCTGGAAAGCGCCAGATTGCATCTGGAGAGACACCGGCAAACTCTCGAGGTGCGCTGCAACAGCAAGCGTTGCAGAAGTCAGGCCCTTGGCGACGCTCATAGTAAAGTGGTATTCGCACGAGGACTAGGGAAAACACACAGAATAAATACCAGCAAAGATTGTTTTTTCTCTCTCTCTCTCTGCGTGCTGCCAGGTTATTTGGGAGGTACTGCGCCGTCGAGCAACGCGTTTGGCAGGGCGCATACAGTGCAGTAAGTGCTGCGTTTTTCAAAGGCCTACATCTGGACGCGTTTACTGCATCTGCTGCCTGGCGTGCTTCTACAAAAAAGTGCTTTTCGCGCTTGTTGGAAGCCAGAAAATGCGATGCGCTAAGTGTACCTGGTTTCAAAATTGAGTTTCTCATTGTCTGGTTGGGAGCATGGGGAAAGGAGGCTGGACACTACTGTGGATCTTCGAAGCTCCAGCTGCCTTACTGCGCTCAAGATACAGTGCAACGCTACCCCGATTGCCGCTGTGGGTGATTTTGCGTGTCTGCTCAGGAGGAGAAGGAGGAACTGAAGCAGCTCGCGTGCTCTCTCCTTAACAGCGCCGACTGCATGGAAACAGTGAGCTACCTGCTGTAGTTGGTACTGTTGAAAGTGCTGTAGTCTGGACTGGACTGTTTCGAGAGGAATGTCTTTGCTTGCTAGTCGGTTTGGGCAGGGTACTGGAGAGTGCATCGGCGAGGCTCTTCGTCTGTCACGACAGTGATTGATTCTCCACATTGTTTGGCTGTTTGTCAGAGCGCGGCCTTAGGTTTACTCGACGCCAAAGTCTTCTTTGCGTTTCTCTCGAGGTGTAGCGCATGCAAGGAAGCCGCGTTGGCGGGAACTGTTTGAATGCTTGGTTGAGTTCAAGGCGCGACTGCTTCAGTAGTGACTTCTTTCGCGCGACTAGGGCTGCTCTAGCAGCGGCATGCACTGCTGTAGCAGATGGCCCTATGAAGACAGGGAAATGCTTGGAAGTGCACACTCAGCACGAGCGCTGCATGCGTGCCTGTTCAGGAGGGTACGATTGGCGGGCATGCATGGGGGTATGTCTATATGGAGGACGTGGGTGTGTGTTTTCTTCGCTGTGCCTACACATTTCCCCTCCTGTGATTCAACTCCTTCTGTAGCTCATTCGCGTAGTCATAAGTTTGAATCTAAGACACGACGTAAATGGGTAGACCGGAGGGAGGCACAGAAGAGGACTGGCTTTGCAATGCCTCCAAATCGAAAGGTTTCCGATGAAGGCCCACTCGCCAGGTGGGAGGGGAGAGATGAGGGTTGGATATAGTTGCTCTAAGGGCTTTGAACCAGCGTTTTGTGCGTGTACTCTAAAGGCAGTCCATGTGGTTGATTTCAGTCATCGAGTCCACCGCGAGTGTTGGTGATTGCGGTCTATTAGCGGGTGCAAGCTCCCATATATACACGTGCACATACACACGCATATATCGGCGCCCCCATGTATACCCATGGTGAAAGCTGCTTGCGCTATCTACGAGTTACGCTTTGCTGCCCGCCGGAAGGTTCAAAAGGGAGCACGCGGAAGGAAACACACGAACCCGACGCATAGAAAACTGGAAGATCTCGTGCGCTAATAGAGAGAAAAGCACAAAGATCATTGAAACCCTCTTGGAATCGGCAATCTAATGAGGCGTTTGATAGGCCTCATTAGACGATGCGTTTCTGACTCAAGGACCCCCCTTCGTGTCTCGGGTTGGTCTCGTCCGGCAATTGGTGACCTTTTTCGACAAGAAGGGCTCTAAAATGGCTAGAGCGGTCCGAAATCAGTCTGATGCGTGTATGAATACAGCGTACCCGATCGGAAACGCATCAGAAACGTCCTAGCATGGGGATGGTTGGGGGGTGGTGAAACGGATCCGTGCTGCTGCCTCGCCAACCACCTACTCTGTGAGGCCCTTTGGGGCCTGTGGCTCCCTCCACATTATATAGATCATTCCTTTCGTCTTTCGACTGTTTTAAATGCAGCCGTGGCCTTTCAAGGGCCATTAGCGCTCACCAAGTTTCTATGGCAAGCATCTCGCGTTTTAGGGTTCGGGATCTACGTATGGGTATTATAGGGATTCTTGGCGTTTTGAGGGCAGGCAGTCGTCTGAATGCCCTCACAATTCAGCAGGTAGAGAGGGAGATGACCCTCTAGAGTTGACAATACGCAGGCGTTAAACTGTCTGGAAGTCAAGGGCACCCTCGCAGTGTAGCACTGCACAGCGCCGATCAATCAGGCTGCCGCATCCCCGGCGTGAAAGGCTGACTCTTTCTCCCCCTGTACACTTTAAAGGAAAGAGCAGCCGGAACAAATAGGTACCCCTTCGTGCGCAGTCCTACCTACGGCAAACAGCAACAGTGGCTGTTGCTGCCGTTCAGATTGCAGTGTCTCTCTCTCTCTCTCTCTCTCTCGTGTTCTCCTGGCGAATGAGGGCTTCCCAAAAAGTCGTAGACGGGCAATTCCCAGGGCGCCCTTGTTTCTGTGGACGCCGCTGCGCTGCTTGTGAGTCTCGCGGCTACTTGAGCGCTCTACTCCCCGCTACTGCAGCTACCGCTGCTGCTGCTGCTCCTCCTGCTGCACACGCCGGAGCAGCAACGGCGGATAGTGCAGCGACTCCCAGGCAGCGCATCAGACGGACTGTCACGCCCCCCCCTCTACTTGGGTGCAGATGGCATGCATCCGAGTCGCAACGACGGTACAGCAGCACTGGTGCCTCCAAAAAGGGAGAGCAGCACTCACAGCAGCAACAGTCACACGCACAGCTAACACAGGCTGCGCTGCCTCATGCTTTTTTTCCAACCCTTGCGGCTACACAAGCGGCTAGGGCCTCTCCCCACTCCTCCACTCCGTCCAAGCAGCAGCAGCAACAGCAGCAACAGCAGCAGCAGCAGCAGCTGCAGCAGCAGCAGCAGCAGCAGCAGCAGCAGCAACAGCAGCTGCAGCAGCAGCCATCATTTGGCGATGTTGTTCTGGCTAGCCAAGCGGTGTCTGCAGCCCCCTGCCAACAGGTACCCCCAAGCCACCACTCCTGTTGCTGTTTGTTGCTGGTGTTGCACATGCGCGTAGGACTGCCGTATTCCTCGCCTCCTGCTACGTTTCAATACGCCTCTGCATGTCTTTACCACTCGCACGGCTCTCCTCTATGCGTGCTGCCGTCGCTTCTGCTGCTGCCTCAGTGTGCGCAGTTGCGGGGGGAGCTGTCTTTCTTCCAGCAGCAAACCGGCTTGCTGCGTGCTGAGCTTCACAAGGCAGAGCGAGAAATCCAAGGAAGTCGCAACGAACTGCGGGAAAGAGAAGCTCACATTCAGACTTTACAGGTACTGTGCATGTTGCAGCGTGACTGAGACTCCCCTCGCCGTCGCTGTCGCCTGCACGGCACTGCGAAAACAAGCAGCAACTGTAGAGAGGCTTTTTCTGGAGACTTTCCGGAAGGACAGACTTGTTCGCCGCAAGGCTGCCCTCTAACCTTGCGATGCGTGAATCCGCGTGGCTGCAGGCACAAATCAGAACGCTGACATCGCAGCTCAGTTGGCTTGCTGCTGCCTCCGCTGCAAAGCACTCTCGCGAGGAGGAGCAACCAGCAGCAGGAGGCGACGCAGACGACGCTGCAGCAGCAGAACCAGCAGCAGCAGCAGCAGAACCAGCAGCAGCAGCAGCAGCAGCAGCAGCAGCAGCAGCAGCAGCAGCAGCAGCAGCAGCAAGCGCTGACGAGACGTAAGTTTCTGCTTGGCGTAGACAAGTCTGACGCTGCAAGACGTGTACCCCTTCGGCGTGGGGAGTGGAGGGGGGAGGGGTGGCTGGGTGGAGAGCGCTGGCTTTTTGTTGTCGCGTTTGTTGCGTGCGAGTCTCGCAGCAGTAGTAGCAGCAGACGCAGAAGGCAGTATCCTGATGCAGATGCAAAACTCGAGGCTGCAAGCGAAGCCTCTGAACAGTCAGAGGCTGCTACTGCAGCTCCCTCCACGTAAGGCTTGCCGCTGCCTCTGCCGATTTGGCCGTCGCCTCTGGAGGTGCTTCTAGGGTAGTTAATGCTGTAGGAGCGTTGATGTCTTTCTCTCACGTGCTTCGTCGAATACGTGCTGTGCGGATGGAGGCTCCTGTAGGACGGCAGCCTCTCTGCAACAGCTCCCCATTCACCCCCTCGAGGCACCAGATCGCTGCCGTCTTCGCAGCAGCTGCTGGGAGCAGCAGCAGGGAGCAGCTGCTGCAGCAAGTTCGGTGGGGTCGGCGTACGAAGGCGACTTGTTGCTGCTCCGAGCAGCGACAGAAGGGTATGAAGAGCAGCAACAGGAACTGCTGCGTCTACGCCAGCAAGTGCAGCAGAGTGCTGCAGAAATGCAGCCTCTCCTGCGAGCGCAGAGACGGAGTTCTCGCAAAATTCGCCAGCTCTCTGCAGAGCTGCAACAGCAGCAGCAGCAGGCGGCATCAGAGGAGCAGCGACTATTGCGAACGGCTCAGGAGGCTGTCCTCCTGCGTGGAGCGCTGCGCAGGTAGGCAAGCCACTTGTGCAGCAGCAAGAGGAGCGGCAGCAGCGTGAATTGTGGCAGAAGCAGTTGAAGAAGGAGCAGTAGCAGCGGCAGAGTAGTAGTTGTAGGAGTAGTAATAGCAGTGATTGTAGTAGTAGCTGTAGTTGTAGTGGTAGTAGTAGTAGTCATTTAAGCAGTAGTAGTAGGAGGAGGAGTCATTTAAGCAGCAGTAACAGTAGTAGTAGTAGTAGTAGTAGTTGTAGTAGTAGAAGCGACGGCAGCAGTACTAGCAGCAGTAGGATGAAAAAACAGCAGGCTTAGTATAGACACCAGGAGTAGAAGCAGGAGCAGCCTGAGTAGTGAAAGAAGCAGCAAGGCGCGTATAGGCTGCTTCCACCAGCAAGAGTGGGGGTCTGTGGGTGTAGAGGTGAGGCGCAGCAGTTGGCAAAGGCATAAGATCTTTGTAAAGGGGTGATGCAATAAGGCATCTTGTGGGGATTCTGCATGCACTTGTGTGCAGCAAACGGCAAGATCTGCTGCGCTGTTGCAGCAGCAACGAGTCGCTGCAGCAACAGCTGCTGCAGTTGCTGCAGTGGGTAGATCATGTAGCATCGAGTGCAGCAGCACATGGACGCGCAGCGCGAAAAGGACTTGCCATTCGTACAGCATCCCGGCAGCGGCTGCTGCAGCTGTCGCTTTCTGGTAGCAGCAGGAGCAGCAGCAACAGCAGCAGCAGCAACGGACGCTGCCGCATCCTGAGCCACGCTTCTACAGACTCCACAGGATCCGCTGTATCGGCAGCTCGGTGAGTTGCGTCCCCCCAACGGCAAGAAAAAGCAGCAGCAGCCACAGCCACAGGCCGTATCGTCTGCAACATGTTCGTATACGGGTGCTACTGCTGCTGCTGCTGCTGCTGCTGCTGCTGCTGCGTGTGCAGGAAGGAGGAGCCGCTGCTGCCGCAGGAGCTGCGGAGGCAGCTGACGGCCTTTCGCCGCATTGCATGCCGACGCGCATTACGGCTGAAGGCTACAGAAGTCGAGAAGACGCTGCTGCAGCAGCAAGTCCACTCTCTAGAGCAGCAGCTGCAACAAGCGCTGCAGCAGCCGCTGCTGCACGAGCAGCACCAACGTAACGGCCCCCATGCCACAGAGGTAAGCAACAATTTCTTCCTGCAGCAATACTTTACTCCTGCAGCAGTTCTCTACTTGTGCAGCAATTCTCTACTTCTGCAGCAGTTCTCTACTTGTGCAGCAATTCTCTACTTGTGCAGCAATTCTCTACTTCTGCAGCAATTCTCTACTTCTGCAGCAGTTCTCTACTTCTGCAGCAATTCTCTACTTCTGCAGCAATTCTCTACTTCTGCAGCAGTAATCTACTTCTGCAGCAGTAGTCTACTCCTGCAGCAATTCTCTACTTCTGCAGCAATTCTCTACTTCTGCAGCAGTAATCTACTTCTGCAGCAGTAGTCTACTCCTGCAAAGCGACGTGTTTCGTCTCACGCCTAGCAGCTTCTGCTGCCGCTGTTTCCCCTTGTTGCTGCGCAGGCTTATATGGCGCGTGAGGAGATTGAGCGGGCGCATGCAGAGCTTCACACGGCAGCAGAGGAAATAAAGGCATTGCGGCAGGTTGCTGCAACTGCTGCAGCCAGTCAGCAGCTGGCTCACGAACAAGTGGGCAGCTACAGCAGTCCTACAAGTGGTGCTGCTGCTGCATGCACACTCAGCCACGAGGACTGCTCGCAGCAGCAGCAGATGGCAGCGCTGCAGCAGCAGCAGATGGCAGCGCTGCAGCAGCAGCTAGAGGACTTGCAAGGAGCGCATGGAGTGCTGCTCTCAAAAAGCGAAACCGTTATGCTGCATCTAACTGAAATAACGCACCAGTACAGCCTGCTGCAGCAGCAGCATGAAGAACTGCAGCAGCAGCATGAAGAACTGCAGCAGCAGCATGAAGAACTGCAGCAGATACATGTAAAACACAGGCAGCAGGAAGCCAGCTTGGGGATGGAGCAGCAAATGCATTCAGCAGCCGCTGCGGCTGCAGCAAATCAGGCAGAAGCTATGCAACTAGAGTTGCAGCAGCAACAGCAGCAGCAACTTGCTGCACAGGCTTTGCAGCTGCAGGCACTGGAGAACAAGCTGCGTCAGAAGGAAGAGCAGGCTGCCGTAGATATCCCGCTACAGCAGAACGAGCAGCAGCAGCATCTGCGGCAAGAGGAAAGAGAAGCGCAATGGCTACAGCCATTCCAGTCAACAGCTCTGCAGCAGCGACTGCAAGAATTGGAGCATCAGAATGAGGCTTTACAGAAAGACTATGAGGAATTACAGCGGCAGCATAATGAACTGCAGCACCAACTGCAGGAGCTGCATAAGCAACGGCAAGAGTTACAGCTGCAACAGCGTCCTCTTTTGAAGCAGGAGCTGCTGCAAATACACGAAGAGCAGCAAGAACAGAAGCTGCAGCAGCGGCATCACCAGCTTCAGCAAATCGCGCCGCAACAGACGCAAATTGAGAGTCACTTCCGACAGCAAGAGCAGCAGTTGCAGCAGCAAGAGCAGCAGCTGCAGCAGCAGGAACAGCAATTGCAGCAGCAAGAGCAGCAGCTGCAGCAGCAAGAGCAGCAGCTGCAGCAGCAAGAGCAGCAGCTGCAGCAGCGAGAGCAGCAATTGCAGCAGCAAGAGCAGCAGCTGCAACAGCAAGAGCATCAGCGGCAGCAGCAAGAACAGCAATTGCAGCAGCAAGAGCAGCAGCTGCAACAACAGCAGCATCAGCTGCAACAACAGCAGCAGCAGCTGCAACAGCAAGAGCATCAGCGGCAGCAGCAAGAGCATCAGCTGCAACAACAGCAGCATCAGCTGCAACAACAGCAGCATCAGCGGCAGCAGCAAGAGCAGCAATTGCAGCAGCAAGAGCATCAGCTGCAACAACAAGAGCATCAGCTGCAACAACAAGAGCATCAGCGCCAGCAGCAAGAGCAGCAGCTGCAACAACAGCAGCATCAGCTGCAACAACAGGAGCATCAGCTGCAACAACAGGAGCATCAGCGCCAGCAGCAAGAGCAGCAATTGCAGCAGCAAGAGCAGCAGCTGCAACAACAAGAACATCAGCTGCAACAGCAAGAGCATCAGCGGCAGCAGCAAGAGCAGCAATTGCAGCAGCAAGAGCAGCAATTGCAGCAGCAAGAGCAGCAGCTGCAGCAAGACGCGCAGCAGCTGCAGCAAGACGCGCAGCAGCTGCAACAGCAGGAGCATCAGCGGCAGCAGCAGGAGCATCAGCTGCAACAACAGGAGCATCAGCGGCAGCAGCAAGAGCAGCAATTGCAGCAGCAGCAGCAGCAACTGCAGCAGCAGGAGCAGCAACTGCAGCAGCAGGAGCAGCAACGGAAACAGCAAGAGCAGCAATTGCAGCAGCAAGAGCAGCAATTGCAGCAGCAGGAGCAGCAACGAAAACAGCAAGAGCAGCAATTGCAGCAGCAGGAGCAGCAACGAAAGCAGCAAGAGCAGCAGCTGCAGCAGCAGAAGGAGCAGCTGCAACAACAAGAGGAACAGCTACTGCACCAGCAAGAGCAGCAAGAAGGCTCCTCGGGGCAAGGCTTGATTGTTTTTCGGCGATTGCAGCAGCAGAATTCGCAGTTGCAGCGGGAGTCGCGTTCTTTGCTTGAGCAGTTGGAGGCGACATGTGCGGCGCAGGAGTTGTTGGTGGGAAAAGCTGAGCAGCAGCAGCAGCAGCTGCATGCGGCGGCTCTGGAGCGTGCTGCTTTGGTTCAACAGACTCAAGAGTTGCAAGAGCAGCTCACGATAGTGGCGGCAAAAGAAGAGGCAGTCCGCAGTCATTGTGAGGAGCTCTCGGTGCAGTTAAGAGATGCTGAGGAGAACGCAGCAGCAGCAGCAGACGGGGAGCATCAGCTGCAGCAGGAAGTGCAGCACATGCAGCATGAGCTTCGTGTCTTGACGGAGAGACTAACCGAAACGCAGAGACAGCAGCAGCAGGGAAGTACACGGGAGTCATCCGAAAGCAGCTCGCAGAGCAAGCGGATGCGGCAAGTTACTGGCTTGCAGCAGCTACAACTGCAGCAGCAGCAGCAGCAACTGCAGCAGCAGCAGCAGATTATTGACGAGCTGCACATCAAGCAGAGGGCTCGAACGAGCGAATTTAGCAGGCGCAGCAGAGCATACAGAGAGCAGCACCAGCGAATGCTGCAGCAACTCGAGCGGCAGCGTCAACTCAGTGCAGCAGCATCAGCGCAGCATCGGGAGCAGAACAAGCAGCATGAGAAAGCTGTCTTGGAATTGCGGCAATCTCTCACCGAAAAAGACGTTTATATTCAGCAACTGCAGGAGCGAACAGCCGATCTTAGCAGCGCTCTGGAGCAGCACCAGCAAAATAAAAAACAGCTGCAGCGTAGGCTGCAACAGCAGCAGCAGGATACTGAAGAGGCGCGCGCGTCTGCAAAGCAGGTGGAAGAGATTTGTAGACAGCTGAGGGAGCAGTTGCAGCAGCAAACAGCGGGTTTTGACCATCTGCAGCAGCAACACAGCAGCTTGCAGCTGCAACAGCAGCAGCAAGCCGCCGATTTGGAGCATCTGCAACAGCAGCACTGCGAGCTTCTGCAGCAGCAGAAGTTGCTGCAGGAGCAGCTGCATCAAGCGAGGCATGAAGAACGCAAGAGCCGCCAGTCGTTGGATGCTGCGCCTGTGGAGCAGCGGCAGAGTGCAGGGAACCTGCAGCAACAACAGCACGGTGAAGACGTTGAGCAGCAGCAGCAGCAGCCTAGAACTAGTGCAGTGTTGCCTGCTGCCTTAGAGCAGCTGGACGGGAGCAGCGAAGATGAAGATGAGCAAACATATCAGCAGCAGCGAAGGTACCGCACGGTGGAGCGCGAGCTTCAGCACGTAAAAGGCCTCTACGAGCAGCTGCAGGAGGAGTTTGCCGCGATCCAGCAGCAGCAGCAACAGCTGCAGCAGCTGTATGATAGGCAGTCCACAGAGCTGGTGCATGCGGTGCGTCGAGCTAGCCATGCGGAGGAGGAGAAGCGACTGCTGCAGCAGCAGCTGGAGGCGCGGCAGCAGCGGAGCAGCAGCGCTCAGGAGCTTCTGAGGCAGACACATGAGCAGCAGCTGATCGCTGTACAGGGAGAGCTTCGTACGAGCCAAGCTGAGGCAACGGAGATAGCGGAGCGTCTTGCTGCCACGGAGATGCGGCTGCAGGAGCTGCAGCAGCTGCAGGAGCAGCATGCGAGACGTGAGACGGGCGCAGCGGCGCAGCGGCTGCAGCAGAAGATCGCGTTGCTGCACACGGAGCAGCAAGAGAAGCAGCAGCTGCAGCAGCAATTCGCAGCGGTCACGCTTGAGAAGCAGCAGCTGCAGCTGCTGCTGGAGCAGGAGCGCAGCAGGGTAGGGGAGTTGATGAAGCGAAACGCGGCGGAGGGAGAGTGGAAGGCGGAGCTGTCTGCGGAGGCTGCAAGCCTGAGGGAGCAGCTGCAGCAGCAGCAACTGCTGCAGCAGCAGCAACAGCAGCAGCAGGCTACAGTCCTGCAGCAGCTGCAGCAGCTGCAGCAGCAAGCCGCTGCGGAGGGTGCAGAGACGCAGAGGCGGCATGCCGAGCAGCAGGAGCTGCTGCAACAGTCGCTGCAGCATGCGCAGCAAGCAGAAGCAGAGACTCGTACTGCGTTGCAGAAGGAAGTACAAAGGCTGCAAGAGGAGCATCTGCAGCTTCTGGAGCAGCAGAAGCTGCACGCAAAGGAACGCGAAACGCGTCAGAAAGAACGTGAAGCACAGCTGCAGCAGCAACTTGCGGCTCAGAAGCAGGAGCGCACGTTCTTGGAAGATGATTTGCAGCAGCTGAAGCAGGCGAAGCAGCACTTGGATCAGGAGCTGCTGCTGATGGAAACGAGAAACAGCGAGCTGGCAGCCCAATTACACGAGGCAGAAGACAGTTATCACCTATTAACAGCCGAGGCGGAACGGCAGTACACCGAGCTCAAGCAAAACAACCTTGAGCTGCGCATGCAACTCGACGCTGCCTTACAGGCAGCAGCAACGGCGCAAGAGCAGCAGAAGCAGCAGCAACAAATAGCGGAGCAGCTGAGGCAGCGCGCGGAGCAGCAGCAGCAGCAAATGCATCAAGAAGCAGAGGAACATGAGCGCATTACTCAGACACAGCAGCAGAAGCATGAGACGCTGCTGCAGCAGCAACAACAAGAAGCTCGGGAGCAGTTGGAAGAGCAGCAGCAACGCATCGAAAAATTGCAGCAGCAGCATGAAGAGCTGAGCAAGTCTCTAGCTGAGACGCGACAGCGCAGCAGCAAGGAGCAACAGCAGCTCCTGCAGCTTCAGCGAGAGAACGAGCAGCTGCAGAAACAGCTTGAGGAGGCTGCTGCGGCACTTCAAAGCCAAGCTGCAGACGCAGAAAAGCAGAAGCAGCGGCAAGAGCAGCTTGCTGCCGAGCTGAAACAGCAACAAACCCTAGCAGCGCAGCAAACCACGCTGCTCGAAGAGCATCAGCAGCAAGAGGTCTTGTTGCTGCAGCGGTTGGAGGAGCAGCAGGAGCAATTTCAAAAGCAGCAAGCAGAGCAGCACAAGCAAACAGAGCAGCTAGTCGGAAGGCAGCAGCGCCAGGCGCAGGAAATGCAGCAGCAACTGCAGCAGCAACTGCAGCAACAACTGCAGCAGAAACAGCAGGTGGTTGAGGAGCAGCAAGAGCAGCTTCAAGAGCAGAAGCATCAGCAGCAGCAGCTTCAGACACAGCTGCGCGAGTTTGCGCAAAAGGCAGAAGAGCTGCAGCAGCAGCTTCAAGCGCACAAGGAGCAGGTGGAACGGCAGCGACAGCAAATAAAGATGCAGCAGCTGCACATGGAGGAGCAGCAGCAAGTTGCCGCAAGGCTGCAAAAGCAGGCTGAAGACAGAGAGCAGCAGCAGCAGCAGCTGTTGCTGGAGAGTCACAGTGAGTTTCGACGCGTTTCTGAGGCAGAAGCAGATGCACGACAGCAGCTACAGCGTTTGAAAGAGCAGCATGCAGAAGAGGTCATGCAGCAAAGGGGAGAAGCCGAGAAGCAGCGGCTTCTGCTTGAGGAACGACTGCAGCAAGTTGCAGCCACGGCGAAAGAGCAGAGCAATGAAATACAGCGACTTCTCAATGCGCAGACGCGTGCAGGGGCGGATATACAGCAGATGCAGCAGTTGCGGCAGCAGTTGCAGCAGCAGCTGCAGCACCAAGCGGAGGAGCAGCAGCAGCAGCAACAAGAAGCAGCAGCAACAATCGCAGCATTAGAGGCTGATCTTGCTGCAACGCAGCAGCAGCTTGACACACTCAAGGAAGAGCGAAGCCTCCAGCGGCAACAGATGCAGGAGCTGCAGCAAATGCTCACAGAGATGCAGAAACAGCGATCTGCAGCAGATTCTCAGGTTGAGTCCTTTAGGCTTCGCATGGAGAATGCGGAGCGACAGCAGCAGCAGCAGCAGCAGCAGCAGCAGCAGCGGCTCCAGCACCTGCAACAGCAGCTCGACAGGCAGAGGCAGCTAGCAACCTCGAGGCATGAAGAGTGCTGTACGCTGCAGCAGCAGCTTCACCAGCAGAAAACAGCAGCAACTAAGGAACTGCAAAAGCAGAAGGCAGAGGCAGAGGCGGAGCAGCGTCATGCGCAGCAACTACAGCAGCAGCAGCAGCAGACATTGGAGGAACTGCAACACCAATGCGCGCAGCTGCAGCAGCAGCAGCAGGAGCAGCAGCAGGAGCATGCGAGTAAGCAGCAAGAACTGCGGCAAAGCCTGCAGCAGCAACAGCAGCACGTCAGTGAGCTCGCTAGGCAAGCCGAAGAGGCTGCTGCATCAGCTGCAACGCAGACAGCTGAACTACAGCGCTTACAGGAAGCCTATCAGAAAGAACTGCAGAAAGCTGACCAGCTGCAGCAACACGCCAGCGAGCTCGAGCAGCAGATGCAACTTGCGGAGCAGCAGCAGCAGCATGAGCAGCAGTCCATGGCTCAAGAAGTTGAGTTGCACCGCAAGTCAGCGGCAGCAGCGGAGCAGCGGAGAGATGAGCTGTACATCCAGCTGCAGCAGGTGCGACAGCAGCTGCAGCAGCAGCAGACAGAAGCTCGCACGCTTGCAGTCGCCAAGGATGAATTGCTGCAACAACTGCAAGAAGCTGCACTGGCTCAGGATAGGCTGAGTGCGCAGCTGTCTGCAGCTGAAGCAGCGGTAAACACGCTGCAGCAGCAAAACAAGCAGCTTGAAGAGCAGCTGCAGCAGCTGCCGGAATTGCAGGAGGCTGCACAGCAGCGCAAGCTGCTGCAGCAGCAGCAGCAGCAGTGGCATTCCCAACAGCACCAGCAGCAGCAGCAGCTAAGGGCGGAGAAAGATCGGTTGGAGCAGGATAAACGAGCCCTGAATCGGCAGCTCAGGCTTCAAGAGCGGCAAATCGCTTCGCTGCAGCAGCAGATGCAAGCGGCAGACGCAGCAGCAGTGGCAAGGGAAGAGCAGCAAGAGCAATACAGAGCGTCTCAGCAGCTTCTGCTGGAGGAGATGGATAAGCAGCAGCAGCAGCAGCAACAACAGCTGGAAGTAGAGCTGCGGATGGCGCAGGAGGCCGTTAAAGACAAGGATGGTCAGATTCAAGATCTTAGGAAGCAGTGCGACAGTCTGCAGAACCGTCTGGAGGAGCAGCATAAGGCAAAGGAGGAAAGCCGCCAGCAGCTCACAGGTGCAACAGAAACAAAGCAGCAAATGCACAGATTGCAGCAAGTTGCGACTGCTGCAGCAGATCCCCAACTTGCAAGGGTGAGTCGACAGAGGGACGCCTTAGAGGCGGCAAAAGAGCAGCTGCAAGCTCATGTAGGCAGACTAGAGGAGCAGTTGAGGCAGCAGCAACAGCAGCAGCAGCACTTGAAGCGGCAGCTGGAGTATAAGGATGCGCAGCAGCAAGAGCTTGAGAAGCGCCAGCAGCAGCAATGGCAGCAGCAGAAGAGTGAGTGGGAAGCGACACAGCAGGAGCTGCAGCAGCAGCTGCAGCTTGCAACTGCAGCAAACGATAATTTAAAGCAAGAAGTGGAGTTGCTGGAAGTGCAGAGAAAAGGGTCCACAGGTGCCCTGCTGCAGCAGTCTCAGATGTTCGAAGAGGAGCAGCAGCAAAAGTTTTTGCAGCAGCAGCGGCAGCTCAGAGAGGTGGAGCACCAGCTGCGCATGCAGCAGGTGCAGCAGCAGCAACACCAGCGCGAGCTTGCCTATTGGAATAGCCGCGCGGAGTCTGCTGAGCAGCAGTTGGCGGCTAAGCGTCAACAAGTCTCGGATCTGCAGCAGCAGCTGCAGCAGCAGCAGCAACAACAGCAGGTGCTCCTGCAGCGTGAGCAGCTCGAACGGCAGCAGCTCAGTGAGGAACTAGCGGTTAGTCGAGTGCAGCTGGAGGCGGAGGTTGTTACGCAGCAGCAGCTGCTGCTGCAGCAGCAGCAAGCAGCAGCAGCTGCCGAGGAGGTAGCAGATCTGCAAGAACGCCTTGCAGCGGAGACTGCCCGTGCTGCTCAATTCGCTGCAGCAGCAGAAATGGCACAGCAACAGCTGCTTCAGCAGCAGCAGGAGGCAGCGCGAACGACTGCACGGCTTGCCGCAATGGAGTCTAAATACAGCGTCTTGTCTTCTTTCCATCAGCAGCAGCAGCAGCTGGTGTTGCAGCAGCAGCAGCGGCTGCAGCAGCAGCAGCAACAACAACAGGACCAGCTCCAGCCGCTGCAGCAACAGCCGGAGTACGTTGCATCCCTCGCATCCATGCAGGCAGAGGTAGAAGAGTTGAGAGCGATGCTACAAGCAGCCCATCAAGGCAACACCAAGCTGCTGCAGCACCAGCAGCAGCTGCAGCAGCAGCAGCAGGAAGATGCAGCAAAGCTTAATGAGGCACTAACGCAGCTGCATCAGCAGGAGGCTCAGACGCGGAGAGCGCAGCAAAAGGCACAACGTCTTCAGCAGCAGCTGGATTTGCAGCAGCAGGATGTACAGCAGCTCCAGCAGATATCAGCTCAATTCGACGCCTACACCCGAGAGCTGCAGTTGCAGCTGCAGCAGTCGCAGCTGCAGCAGTCGCAGCTGCAGCAGTCGCAGCTGAAGCAGCCGCAGAGTTCTACCTTCCCGTTTTCTCAGCAAGCAGCCTTCCAGAACGACCTTGCTGTGATATCCGACACTGTAAGAGAGCTCCTGCAACGGATGGAGCAGCAGCAGCAGGTGCTCTTGCAGCAGCAGCAGGTGCTCCTGCAGGAGTCGCGGATGCAGCAGCCTCCCCAGCAGCAGCAGCCGCTGCTGGACGCAAGTGAAAGCACTTTTTCGGCGCAGCAGCTTCCTGCAGTCGAATCGGTGCTGCAGCGGCGGAGTAGAGAGCAGCAGCAGCAGCTGCTGCTGCTGCAGCAGCAGCTGCAACAGGCCGACAAGGAAGTCGCGTATCTGCGGCAGCAGCAACAACAGCAGTTCCAACTCTTGAAGAGCAGCACTCTTACGGAGCAGCAGCAGCAGCAGAGTTTGCTCCTGCAGCAGGCACAGACGGAAGCATCGGATTTAAGGAGGCAGCTGAGACGAGTCGAGCACGAAAAGGCTGTAGAGACAGCAGACGCGCAAGGGATGCGCGAGCAGTTGCTCGCTGTGCGGAGACGGCAGCAGCAGCAGCAGCAGGCTGTGCAAGAGCAGCAGGAGGCGCTTGCTGCAGCAGCCGTCAGAGATCAGCAAGCACGGCTCATGCTGCAGCAGGAGCAGCAGCAGCGGCAGCAACTGGAGGCACTGTTGCGGAGCCTTGAGACCAACGGAGAGGCAGAAAGACTTGCGCTGCAGCAGCAGATGCAGCGCGTGGAGGGCAGATGTCGTGTGCTGCAGCAGGAGGCGGCGCTGCATCAGCAGGCTGCTGCGGCTGCGCAGCAGGAGCTGCAAGAGCAGCAGCAGCAGCACCAGCAGATGCTGTTGCAGTACAAGGAAAAGGCGGAAGAAGCCACGCGCCGCATGCAGGTGTTGCAACAAAAGGCCAAGGCTGCGCAGCTGGATCAGCACATGCTGGAGCAGCGCGTCGAAGCAGCAGAGGCGGCAAGAGAGGTTGCTCAGCAGCAACAGGCAGTTGCTGCTGCTGAGGCTCAGTTGAAGCAGCAGCAGCTCGAGCACGAAGCGCAGCTGAAGCAGCAGCAAGACAAGCAGCAAATAGCATCTCTGAAGACAGCGCTTCAGGCAACAGAGCATTCTCTGGCACGGGCTAATGACACGGTGGCTGTGCTGCAGCAGAGGGAGGCAGCGCTGCAGCAGCAGCAGCATCAGACATCCGAGGAGAGTGCGCCTGTTTCTCGAATGCAACAAAAGCAGCAGCAAAAGCAACTGGAAACGCTGCAGGAGCTGCTGCAGCAGTCGAATGAGGCAAAAAAGAAGCAGATGGAGAACTTGCTGCAGCAGCAGCGCGAGCTGCTGCAGCTGCGAGAGCAGCTTCGGGTGTCTGCACAGCAGCAGGAAGCCATGGCGGTAAATGAGGAGCGGCTGATTGCAACATGCGATGCTACGTTCGCGCAGCAGAAGGAGCAGGAGCAGCAGCTGCAGCAGCTGCAGCAGACTTGCACGGAGCTGCAGAAGCAGCTGAGCAAGGCTACAACACGAGATGAGCACCTCCTTGGTGCAAGCCACAGAGCAGCGCTTCAGCAGGAAGTCTTGGTGCTACGGGAGTCGCTGCGGCAGCTTCAGCAGCAGCTGCGTGCAAGCGAACTGCAGCGAGGATCTGTGCTGCAGCTGCTGCAGCGCCAGCAAAATCAGCAGCAGCAGCAGCTTGGTGTTGCGCTCGTGCAGCAGCGGTGCAACGACTACCGCATGCAGCTTGAGGCTACAGAGCAGCAGCTCCAGCGAGCTTGGCAGGAAAGCAGCGAACTGCGGCAGCAGCTGCAACAGCAGCAAGACGCTGCAGTGCAGCAGCAGCTGCTGCACCAGTCTAGGCACACGCAGAGGAAGCAGCAGGATGAGTTACAGCAGCAACTTGTTCAGCAGCTCAGGGAGGAGGCGGACTCGTTGCGTTTGCGGCTGCGCGAGATAGAGGCGCAATACTATCAGCAGCAAGGGTCGATTGCTGCAGCAGAGCAGCAGAAGGAAGAGCTGTTGGGGGCAGTGTTGCAGCAGCAGCTGCAGCAGGAGCAGCTGCAGCAGCAAGTGCAGCAGGCGGAATTCCTCGTGCGGCAGCATCAAGCGGCGAAGGAAATAGCGGATACGGACTATCAGGCGCTGCGGAGTCGCTATGAGGCATTGCAGAAGGATGCAGAGACACAGCAGCAGGAGCTGCAACAGACCAAACAGCTCACGCAGCAGCTGGAGAGGGATGCAAGGGCAGCCAGTGCTCGTTGTGAGCTTCTGGAAGCAGAGCTTGCTGCCGCGGAGCAACGCAGCAGTGACAGCAGCAGTGTGCTGAAGCAGCAGCTGCAGCAGCATGGCAACTTGCTGCAAGAACAGCGGGAAGCAACACTGGAGCTGCAGCAGCAGTGTTTGCAGCTCCAGCTGCAGCTGCAGCAGAAGACGCAGGAGGAGCAGAAGCACCGCGAAGCGCTGGAGCAGCTGCAGAAGCAGCAGCAGGAGCAGCAGAGCATGCAGAGACAGGCGAGACGAAGCGCAGGCGAGGAGCTAGAGCAGCAGCAAAGGGTCGTTGCACGAGTGCAGCAGCAGCTGGAGCAGCAGCAGCGACTGCTGCGAGAAGCGCAGCAGTCGGAGACTGCGCTGAAGGCAGAAGTTTCCGAGTTAGAACAAGTCCTTCAGCAGGCTAGGCGCACTGAGCAGCAGCAGCAGCAGCAGCAGCAGCAGCAGCAGCAGCGGATCGAGCAGCTGCAGAAGGAACTCTTGCAGACGCACCAGGAGGTTGTTGCAGCGGAGGCGCAAGTCAAGCAGCTTAGCGAGAAGCTGGCAACAGATCAGCGTCAAGCAGCGGAAAGGGAGCAGCACCAGCAGAAGCTGCTCCTGAAGCAGCAGGTGCAGCAGGAGCAACAGCAGCAGGAGCTGCAGCAGCTTCGCCTAATGCAGCAGCAGCATGCAAGGACCAAGGAGGAGCTTGCCGCTGCAGTCGAAGCGCTGCATGCGACTCAGCGGCGCGAACTGCAGCAGCAACGGCTGCTGCAGCAGCTGCAGCAGCAGCTGGAGGAGGTGGACGTCTCTGAGAAGTCTCTCGAAGACTCGAGAGGGAGATGGACTGCCCGTTGCGCTTCTCTGACTCGCGAGCTACAAGCAGCAACCGGTGAGGTACAGAAGGCGCGTGCTGATGCAGCGGAAACACAGCAGCAGCTGCAGTTGCTGCAGCAGGAGCACGAGACTGCGATGCGTTTGCAGCAGGAGGCAGTAGCCTCGGAGCAGCAGCTTGTGTTGCGTCTGACAGAAGAGCAGCAGCGCTTACAGAGCGACCTGGATGCGGTGTACGAGGAGCAGCAGCAGCAGCAGCAGCGCAGCAGAGAGCTGGAGCTGCTGCTGCAGCAGGCGAGAACGAGGACCAAGGATGTCGAGCAGCAGCAGCAGCAGCGGCTGCAGGAAGTGGAGCAGCTCCTGCAACGTCTGCAGCAAGCTGAGCAGGATCTGCAACTCCAGCAGCAAAAGACGAGACAAGCGCTGCAGGAGAAGGGAGAACTCGAAAGGAAGCTGGAGAGTCTGACAGACGAGGATCAGCTGCGGCGTAGTCTTTATCATCAGCAGCAGCGGGAGCGAGAGACTCGAACGGAGCAGCTGCAAGAGCAGCTGCAGCAAGTGCAACAGCAGGCTGCTACAGCCAAGGCTGCGCTGCAGCGAAGCGAGCAGCTGCAGCTAGCGGACCGTCGCAAGGAGCAGCAGCAGCAGCAGCGGATAGCTGCGCTCGAGCGAATGCTGGAGAGGGCGACAGAAGCCACGGAGCAGCAGCATTGGCAAGCACGCATGCATCAGCAGGAGCTGCAGAGACAGCTGGACAAGGTCAAGGTGCTGCAGCAGCAGCTGCAGCAAGCGCAGGAGGCTCGAGAGAAGCAGGAGCAGCAGCTGGCTGCGTTGCAGAATTCAGCAAATCGCAGTGAGAGAGAAACTGCTGCTGCACTGCAGGAAGCCGAAAGAGAGCAGCGGCAGCTCGCGGAGCTGACAAGACAGCTGCAGGAGGAAGTCAACCAGCGCGCGCAGCAGCTGCAGCAAGTGACTCAAGAGCGAACTTTGCTGGAGCATGCGGCAGCTGACCTTAAGGAGCAGCTTGCCGCGCAAATAGCCGAGACGGATCAGCTGCAGCGAGAGGCTGCCACACATCACCAGCGCATCGCGTCTCTCGAGCAAGCGCTGCAGCAGCAGCAAGCCGTAGAAGCAGCCTTGCAGGAGCTGCAGCAGCAGCACGATGAGACGCTCAAGGATCTCAGTGCGGCGCAGCAGCAACTGAAGCAACAGAGGCAAATGCTGCAGCTGCAGGAGAGGCAGTTGCAGCAGTACCAGCAGCAAAGCCAACTGCAGCAGCCTCAGACAGCCTCCGCAACAGCATCGCTGCTGCAGGAGCAGCTGCATGCAACTGAGAGGGCACTGATAGGGAAAGAAGGAGACGCAGCCGCTGCGCGTGAGAGGCTGCGGGATGTGCAGCTGCAGCTGCAGCGGCTGCAGAAGCAGCAAGAGGAACAGCAGCAGCAGCATGCGCAGCAAGTGCAGCAACTCCGGCAGCAATACAAAGACGCTGAGCAGCAGCACAAGCGAGTCACGCAGGAAAATGCAAGTCTCAAACGCCAGCACGAGGGTTTGCAGGAGCAGCTGGAGCTGGAGAAGCAGCGTGCCGCTTTTTTGCAGCAGCAGTTGCTGCAGAAACAGCAGCAGAGCAGCGAGCAGAGTTCAGTAGCTACACAAGAGGTGCAGCAGCTGCGGCAGGAGGCGCAGGAACTGCAGCTGCAGCAGCTAGCAGCCAATAGCAAGATCAGGTCGTTGCAACAGCAGCTTCAGCAACGAGGCTTAGAGCTGTCTGACACGCTGCAACAACTGAAGCTGCAGGCACAGGATACTGAGGAGCAGCTTGTCGCTGTAGGAGACTTGACGGTGCGGCTGCAAAGAGTGCAGCAAGAACGTGATTTGCTACAACAGCAACTCCATCAGGAGCAGCACGAGTCTCAGGAAGTGCAGCGGCAGCTGCTGTTGCGAGCAGCTGAGGGCAGCGGCAAGCAGCAGCAGGTGCTGCCGCTAGAAGAGCGCAACGAGGCACTGCAGCAGCAGCTGCGAGCTGCCCAAGAGCGCAGCATGCAGCTGCAGCAGCAGCTGCAGCAGGAGAGGGAGCTGCGTGCTGCGAGCCTGGAGGGTTCCTTGCAAGGCTGTGCATTGCAGCAGCAAATGCAGCGACTGGCAGACGAAGCAGCTCAGCACAAGGCAGCAGCGCAGGAGCTGCAACAGGAGCTGCACAAACAGGCGGAACGCATGCAAAATCTCAACACTGAGAACAGACGCTTGCAGCTGCAGAAAGCATCAGCTGAGGTAGGCTGGCCCCACACCATGGCCAAGGTGTATAGACACTCCCACAGCGGGTGGTACGAGGGGGAGAGAAAATTCTGCTGAGGCTTCTCAAAAGACATAATAAACGTGCCTGGAATACATACACACACACAGACATACAGACAGAGAGAGAGACACACAGACATACAGACAGAGAGAGAGACATACATACATACATATATACATACATACATACATACACACACACAGACATACACAATAGCTTTTTTTTAATGGAGGGAGGTGCTCACTTTTGCAGGCTTCTGCTCAAGCAGCTTTACGTGACGCGCGTGCTGCTGCCGAGCTGCAGCAGCAGGTTCGAGACTTAACAGCAGCACAGCATCTGCAGCAGGCGCAGCAGGAGGAGCTTCAGAAGGACGTTGACTGCTACCGCGCGCTGTCCAGACAGCTGAAGGCGGAGGCAGCAGCGCTTGTCAAACGCGTGGCAGCAGTGGAGTGGGAAGAGCAGCAGCAGCGGCAGCTGCTGCTGCACGACCCCGAAGCGGCGCACGTCAACACAAGGCAGAAGCTTCGCTACGTGGATATCTTGCAAGCAGAGGTTAGCTACCCAGGAGCAACACGCTGCTCAAATATTCGATCTTTGGTTAAAATGTTGAATGCATTTCTTCCATCTCAGAAGCACGCGCTGTTTATCTACCTCCGAGACACGATTCGTAAGGATAGGTTCCTGCGACGGCGCTGTGTCGGGTGTCTGTACAGCTGCAGCAGGAGAAACAGCGCTCTCTCTCTCTAGAGAAGCAGGCGCTGTCTCTCCGAGTGCAAGTCAGCCTCCTGGCTCCTTTGCGCCGCTTGATCCCCAGCAGCAGCAAGCCTTCAGCCTTGCCTCTCTCTCAGAATGAAGCGAGTATGACACCCTTAGCCGTTCGCATCTCCCTGTTTGGGCAGGCTTGCTGCCCACCTTTTATAGTGGACCAACTTTAAGACGACGCGCAACCGTTCACTGCGTCTGCTTCCTCCTGCCTGTAGGGTGCTGCGTTTTCTCTGTGTGTGTTTCTGCGTTTGTGCTGCAGCGGCAGCCGCTGCCGCTCCTCCTCCCGTCTCCAGTCTCTCAGCCTCTCTTGGAGCCTCGATGATGCTTGGAGCTGCAGGGGGTACCCGCCGGATGTCGTCTTCTTCCTTCCGTTTGTTGCAACACAGCTACTGTTTTGTGATGCAGCAGCTGCTCTCGCTCATCTCTCTGCTACAAGACGCGTGCGGCGAGAAGGTAGTCTTCCGACTGCTGGATGTTCTCCCGCGTAAGGCATCGGCTCCACTGCATGAGTTTTCTTCTTTTTAATGTTGCTTTTGCATCCTTCGAATGCCTTTTCGCTGGCAAGAGCACCCTAAGGAGCAGCAGCAAACAACTGCCTGCTCTTGGATTGCCTCTAGTGCAGTCCTTAAGTCGGTCACGTAGAGAGAGAGAGACAGAAAGAGACAAAGAGAAAGAGAGAGAGAGAGAGACGAACAGACATTCATACATATATACAGACATACACACATACATACAGACAGAAGCGTTCAGGGCAGAAGCGTTTAAGCTGGTCAGAAGATGCGGTTGCTTCTGGTTCGTATTCCGTTGCCTCAGATGCCACGCATACTGCCACCACACCTCAGCTGGCTGGTGCTTCCCCCTCTCAAGACACGCTGCAGCAGCATGGGGCCCTTCCAGGGGGGCCCCTCACGATGAGCCAGCTGGTTCCTTATTCTCCTGCAGCAGCGACGAAACTTCCACCTGGAGAGGACGCTATCGAAGCTGTCTCCGCGCTGAAGCAGCTTCTGCGGCAGCGATTGCTGCAGCAGCCACACAAGCCTGTGTCGATATTGCAGCAGAGGGCAACACGTCGGAGCATGGCAGCCTCTCCTCGCGTCTTTCGGTGCTCCCTCTCCCTCTCTCCTTCCGTCTCTCAGTCCCCCCGCAGCAGCTCAGTCCCCGACCTGAATTTCGGCCTTCCTATAAGCCCCCAACAGCAGCAGCAGCCGCCACAGCAAAGGCAGTTGATGGAAAATGTGAGGACTGGCGTTATTACACGCTTTCGCGCCAACGGCAGAGCTGCTGGAGGTGCTGTGCCTTCAGAAACAGCAGGCAGCAGCAACTACGGAAGTGTTCTAGACGGAGAAGACGCTTCCTATCTCTCCGACCTGTCTGTGCAGTCTGCTGACGACGCAAAGCAATGAGTTGGGTTGTGGGGTTTCCGAAATCGCATTCGCCTTTTGGCGCATCCCCATGCATGCACACAACCCCACACCGCTTCCTTGTAGACCGCAACGTCCATATAGACAATGCGCTTTGTGTGTGTGTGTGTACTTGTCAGTGTGTTCGTGATTTTTCATTCTCTTTTTCGCGCGCGTATAGGCGCTTCAGGGGGTGTTGTCTCTTCTTTTTCGTTCTTCGAAAGCGTGTGCCCCTTAATAAACGGGTGGAGGGAAGGAACACTTCGATCCAGCTTATCGTTTCCCCAAAATAGGCATATGCATACGTTCATATTTAGATATCTAGGCCTCATGAGGGGGTGCCCGTATGTCACTTATTCAAGAACCAGGAGGCACATAGGTGCTCCCCGAGAGGAGCTTCCTGGGGGAAAGGCGACCCCTCCTGCTGCGCTTCCCCTGCCTGGTTCTCTCTGAGGTTACTTTAGCGCAGGAAGGCCTCAAAGGCTCTATGGGAAGCCTGAGCCTTGGCTTTATCTTGGCATTGAATTCGGCGTGCATTGCGCAGATACGGGCTTGTCTCAAGCAGCTTGAGGCGTCAGGGATAGCGCGACGTTCGTAGTGTGCCTGTGGGGGGGCCCGTGCATGTTCCACAGTCTCATGAATTTTTTGTTACGTCCTGTCCGTTCCAATAAAGATGAACATCACTTCCTGCGATGTGCGGGAAAAGGGATTTTGGTAATACAACGGAGAGGACAGGGGTAGCGGGTTGATTGGTTGGTACCGGCGATGAAGGGGTTTTTGCTCCAGGGGTTGTGTGGTGATTTTCCGACTGTCGAGCGCGCTGTATGCATGAACGCGGGCACGTATGTAACTCTCAGCAGTAGGGCCCTGGGAGATGAGTCTTGAGAGCTTATTGACAGCTATATACGATTTGGTAGGGAGACATCAGAGAGTGCGGCTATGTCAAACGCGACTTGCTACTCGCCGCACTCCTCTCCTTCACATGCAGTCCTCGCTTGGGCTACGGTCGAATTGGAGTCTACTCGAAGACATCTTAAAATACAAAAATTTGCTTTGCTGCTGTGCGCAGTGCCCACTTAGGTCGCCGTATCGAGGTCCTGCAATGACCATCCACGAAGATAGAGCAGTTTGTCTAGGTCGGTGGTTCATCAGGTTCTTGAATTTGAAATTCCTCTACACAAGTACAGGAAAATTCCAATATCTCAGCGTCGTAATTTGAGGTACTATCGCGCGTTCGCCAGTTCACGCATGAGGTACGGTGCGCTGGATCTTCTGTCCATTGATTTGCATTCTAAGATTATGACACCTCGTAATTGCGTGCAATTTAGCTTTAAAAGTTTAAGCTCTCATCGCATTTACGCCCAGAGCAGCAGATATACTAGCGTCATCTGGTTCCCTCGGTCGCACTGCCATGCTTCCTAGGATCCCATATCAGGGGCCCCTCCACGGAGGGGCCCCTGATATGGGGGCCCCTGTCTGCCTGCACTTGGAGAAAGCGCGTCTTCTCTGGGTTCTGTAGGTTGCGGTGTATAATGTCCGTTGCTAACTGCATCGGATACGATTATGTGTTTATTCTCTTTTTCGTTGTTGAATATGGGCCCTTGACAAGCCGTCCGGCGTTGCGACACAGCCATGGTTCTCTCCTCCGAAAAGTTCGCAGTTTACGATGGCACCTTGGCGATTGCAGATGGGGAGGACTAAAAGGCTGCTGGATCTGTACTGCGGGGCATGCCGCTACCGCATGCAAGCGCCTCAGGCATTTTCCCTGTTGTTCCAGCAGCAGCCTGAGTTGTTGCTGAAATCGTTGCAGAAAGGAGCACAGCAGCGGCAGCCGAGCTCAGCAGCAGCTCAAGTAGCAGCAGCAACAAGGAAAGCAGCGGGGGCACTTGAAGCCACAGAGTCTCAAGAAGCGCACGCGCTCCCTCCCCAGCAGCACACTGCCACCCTCCTTCCTTGTCGCTCCCGCGAGGCAGCAGCCTTAGCTCTGGAGCAGCAGCAACAGAATGCAATAGGAGATCTGCCGCAGCCACTTGCCCGGCGTTTTTCTCTCTTGTCTCTTGCATCCTCTGCATCGCACGTGCAGCGCCAGGCCGCTGTGTTGCGCCTCTCTCTGGCGGGGAATCCGCTCATCGGAACCCGGCGGCAACGAGGTGTATATACACCGCAGAGCCCCTCCAATAAAACTGCAAGCTCCCTCAACAGTGCTGGGGTCGCTTGTCCTCAATGCGGAAGCCGAGGTAAATGGAAGGCTCCACAGGGAACATCAGTCTGACTTGGTGCGGCAGCTGGTGCTTGCCAGGGTTAAATGTCACACTGCAAGAGCACGCGATTCTGCAAAAAGTCGGCATGGGTGCGTTCCTGCAGAGACGTCTGCGCTACTAATGCGCAGTCTGTACAGCGGGTGCCTGCTACTGCCGCAGGCCTGCATCGTAGCAAAACCTCGAACGTGTGCTCCCGCAGCTGCGCGCGCAGTTACGAAAAGCATTGCTGCCGTTGTGTATACCAGGACGAAGCTTACAACTCGTGGTCTCCTCCTCGCGCTTTGGAGGGCTGCCGAGTCTTGCATTCAAGGATACGGGCAAACATAAAGAGGTAGCTGGAAGGTATAGATCCTAGAGATGTGAGAGAGTGCGACAAATCGCAGACGGGCACCGCTGTTGTGCGTCGGGCTCTTTACTGTGGTAGGATTCGATAGAAATGCCTATTGAGATATAAAAAGAAATGAATCGCTAGTCTCCAATTGCTGGTTGCTTCCTGGGTAGGTGTCTTCTCCCTCCGTGTCTCGCCGCCTGCCCGTTTCTCTTGTCTAGCAGTATTCCCCTGAGGAGTGCTCTTTCTTGAGGCGCTATTACTATCTACTTACTCTGCCCCTTTTTACGAAATCGCATTTCGTCTTGGTGTGATCTGCTGGCAAGGCCCACTATTCCACCGCACCCTACTCAATGAAAGTCGCCCGATCTAGTCCATGCCTTAGTCTTTCGCCACTGCCTCACGGATCCCTAGGATATTTTGAAAGCCGCATGGCGAATTCTCTGCTAAGAACAGCGGAAGTGAGATGGCTAACCTGCTGAAGCTAGACCAACTCGACTCGAGGGAGATGGTTACACGAACCCGAGGTTGGGAATAAGGATCCGCCCCTCCAACTACCTAGCCATCTGTATCCGCTTAGATGTGTCTATATATATATATATATATATATATATATATATAAATGTTAGTAAGACCATACCTATATGTGTGCCATTCGGAATACAGGTACACACGCTTTAGCTGACTGCATTTGGTAGTTTGATAGCCTGGTGAACATAGCTGCCTCCTACAGAATTAAGACGTACCAGGCAGCTCATCCCCCCTCTCTCCACCGCCTTACTACGCGCACTCGCACTGGAGTTTTCTAAGAGCCGCAGCATATATCCTTAGTGTCGCATGTAGGTATACAGGAGGATTCCAGGGCTTAAAGCAATCCGTCAAGAATTAGAAGCTCTTTGTCTCAGTTGCTGCTGTAGCAGGGAGAGGAGCGGCTGCAATTTAGGGTGTCTACGTACTCCCTCTCCAACAAGGCGAGTTGCTGTGTAGAGATCTGAAGAAGATAGGTGACAGAGTTGTTGTTGCAGCATCTCCCGCCTCGCCAACAGTATTTCGCCGCAGTCCTGCCCTACCTGCGAGCATCACAAAGATACATACTATGGGCCCTTGCGGCTGTCAGCAATTCTATTGTCTCCCGAAGCCACCGGTTCCGCTCTTCACACGTAGAGGGGAGACGGACTCGACGCACAAGTACACAACAAATACACAAGTCTCCCTAGTTCGAAGCACACCTGTGAGAGAGTGGTGCAGAAAGAGAGGATTTCTGCTACCCCCAAGGCTGATCCGAGCTGTCTCCCCGCTGCCATAAGCTGGCTCCAAAATTGTTTGTCACGGCAGAGCGCCTCTGACATGGCAGCAGCAGCCGCTATTGCTGCAATCTCTCCAGGGCGAATGGCTGCCCCTGCGGGAGCCCACAGGGGGCTTCTCACTAAGGCCTCTAGGCAACGCGGTAGCTCTTGCCCTAGAGCATTATGAGCTGCAAACAACGGGAGCAACAACAGCAGCTGGCGAGACACGCCGCCTGCAGCAAAAAGTTCACTGCTGCTGCCGCTCACCCTCCTGTTACTTGTGCCAAGAGCTACGCCGCTGTCGTCGCTCCCCCTAGGGGTTGTGTTCCTGTTGCTGCACCTTGTTGCTTCGCTGGAAGCAGTGACAGCAGCAAGGAATTTCTCAGACCATGCCTTTCGAAAAGCTCTAAGGAGGCCTTTGTGTATGGGCTGGTACGACGGGCTGGCTGCCGCGGCAAGAGACAGTAGGAAGGCAGTGCCCTCATGGAGGTCAAAGTGGGAGGCATTTCCCATGCCTAAGAGTGCAAGGGACCGCAAAACGCCGTCTACTCCCGAAGTGACCCTAAGAGAAGCAACAGAATGCGCTGCTGCGCACAGATCGTCAATGCGTACACCCCTTTTGCTGGCGTCGCTTTCACCAGGAGCTAACTCTCTGTGTTTGGCAGCTAGGTGATCTTCTTTCTGTTCTCTATGTCTATTGCCCAAAGCCAGACTCATCACTTCCTTCCTAAGGCCCATGTCTAGGGCGGAGATGAGTGCACAGAAACGAGGATCACCTCCCAGCTGCTCTCCTCTAAGAGGGGTGGCTCTCGAAAGGCCCCTCAGAGCTTTAATGGCATCCAAGACACTGGGGTGTCCATCCTGACTATGCTGGAGCCGTGAGGCCTGCAATTGGATAGAAGGGGCTCCTAAGAGACTAGAAAATCCCCCATGCTCACGCGTAAGGTGCTCGGTCTGACGAGATTCAAACGGAGAAAGGTATTTCACGGGATCTTCAGGGAAAGAATCGGGAAGGGAGAGGTCTTCTGCCTGCGGAAATCGAAAGGCCTTTCTTGGACTTGACGCAGTGCTGCCGCTATTCTTGGCGACTGCTGCCGCAGCTACTGCTTCCGGGCTCCCTACCCGTTCTGCACGACGAATGTCTTCCTCTTGCTCCAGAAAGGTCAGTATTTCCTTGTGCATCAGCTCCCGTTGGCTGTCTAGATCGTCTGCCACGTCGAACATGTTCGGGCAAACATCAGGAGGCTCGACAGCAGCGAACACAAGAAGAGCGCTGCGGGCGACTAGGCGACTCCTGAGAGACTTTATGTAAACCCTATCACTCGCTGGAAAAGAAGCCTCGGGTGGCCACTTGGATAGGCCCCTGTTCCAGTTGATACGACGGAAGCTGAAGGCTAGCACCCCTACGGAGACGAGGGGGAGAAAAATGAGCACGAACTTCATTAGAGGGAGGGAAGATTTACTCAGTATCGGCACGCACTTCGCTCACGGGAAGGGGAAACACGAGAAAGGGGTTCTTCGCTGCGAATCCAATCTTCAGGCCACCCACCACAGGACGCTACATTTCCTGGGGGGTGTCACACATATATCGCGCACAAGTATGCCAAATATCATTGCCACACAAGGCCCCGCGTGCTCTGCTGACCCCTAATCGGTGTAAACGCGTCTTTCCCCTACGGAGCGATCCCTTGGATTCCTCCAAAGGCGCAGGGGGGCCAGACACTGAAATATGAGGATCGAAGACAATGTTACCAAGTTTACTTAATAAAAGCCCCGCCATGTATATTATAAACCTCAATGTGTTCTCGCGCAATTAGAGCTAAAAGTCCAACGATACTGATGGAGCATGCAGCTCTATGTCCGTGCTGTCTTGTGTCGTGACGACGCTAGGCCTGGAACTTCGGTTGATTGACTTTCGAGATTCAAGTATATAATAAACACAAGTATTCAGCTCTTCTGGATCCAATTACTGTGGTGTAATCTGGTGCATTGACTATTTCAAGTTGCGTTCAAAATGGCGGGAAACTTGTGTGCCAGCGTAGGGTAGTCATGGAAGCCCGACAAGGTGTTGGTGTGTGAGCTCGTATAATGCATGGGACTATCTGAGCACCATTCCATGAAGTTTCCATGTAAAAATGTTGCAGCTGAGTCCTCCAAGTAGCTCTTCCGGTTCTTATGCAGCAGCTCCTCGATCTTCACAGAATCTGTAGGGAAGGTGAACCCAATAGATTTCCCGGGTGCGTTCTTCACAGAAGATATCCACAATAAGTACTAGGGTATCACTACTAAATATAGGTAAATGGACACAATAAACGCAGCTTTCATTAGCAAATATCTGATGCAGTACATGGGCTATGCTTAATTGAAAAAGGTAGAATTCCTACTAAACACGAACGAAGGTGCTTCCCGTAGCGCGTGTGTGATGTGAACTTTAGCCGAGTATCATCAGGCGGGCTGTGGCTCTCAGTATCATATGCAAAGCGAGGCTTGGTAACTCTCTCAGTGTAACAGAAGATTGGCATCAGCGACGCAGCACCTAGGGGGGTTCAGTAAGGACGTAAAAGGTGGAAGTGTCTCTTGCGATAGCGCTTAGTGCTTTACTAGGTCGCGCTCGATACACCTGAAGAACAGGTAAAATTGGCGATGGCCAGCCTGTTGTGGTAGAGTAAACCGCCCTTTTCAGGCGAGATCGAAGTGATCTCATCCCAACTCTTCCCATGTAATTGCTCAACTTTCTCATTGAATTGATTCGTGGGAACAGCATGCAATTTAGACAGAGGTTAAGATGGTATCCTTTCCTAGTATCATTCTTGTCACGCTAAATCCTTACTGCCCTATGATATGGAAGAACATGGGCACATGCTAACCTCTTGAGGCTGAAGGCCATGGTAGACTACTAGCGCTCAGTCAGGAACTCGTGTGCACCGGCTAACTATTCTGGGGCTTGATCTCTCGCGATGGGAGGCTGCGAGCCTTCGATCAAAAGGTCTAGCCTCGGATCGAAGATGCGTTTCTCAGTGTAGATCACGCCTGTGGAAGAGCGGAAGGGTAAACGAGACCAAGGGACAAAATAGGCATGTATGCTAAATCGACCGACGGCGATATTCTGACCCTTGACCTCCAGCACTCCAACAATATGGTTGAGAGTCTAATTGGTTTGAATCATTTCAGGAACCGGAAGTATATGCGAAGGGCGGATTTTAGGAGAGTTGTGTGGCTTCAGCTGCCGACAATCCGGCCATGTGGGTGCAAACTACCCTGCTGCAGGAGGCATTCAAGTCGATCAAAAGGACTGTGAGAGCCATTGCACTGTACTTTGAATCTTACGACGGTTTGAATAGACAAGTTTGCTTCCTCGCGCAAAGCGGCACAGCGGACCAGAGCCAGGATGTAGGAGCAGAGGAGTCCTGTTTTGTTGTTTGCCACAGCAGACCATTTCGCATGTGAGGTGATTCAACTATTCGCTATAGTGTACACTAGTGGATGCACGCATGTCGAAAGGGTGAGGGCTATGTAGTTTCGCCAAAAAAATTGAATCATCACAGACAAGTGTTGCTGCGCTGCACAGTAGTGAATCTCTGGGGCATTGCGAAAGCGCGTCAGAGACCACGCTGGTGAAGTCGTTACTCTCATCATAATGTCATACTGCAGGAGGCAGCCAGGCCGAAAACCGAATCTGTGTCTATGGAAATCCTGAAAACTCTCTAGGAGGCACGCCATAGGCTGATGTTTGATCTGGACAGTAAGAGTGCCAGCACTTTTCCACTTCCCGTTACAAACACGGCAGACATTAACATTTCCCGCACCTAATAATTTTCCTCGGTTTTTGTGGGACGATGAGAATAATAGGCAGCAAAGTGGTGTTCTGGGCATCCCGTAGCCTTTCGGGAAGGTAGGCACCCACCGCTACGTCACTACGTTGAGGGGAGAAAATGACACACATGACTGGGGAGCAGAAGTACGCGAGAAGTACATTTGAGCCGAAGGGCAGCCGACAAGCATCCTTGCTGCGGAATTAGGGTCTTCTCTCCAAGACACAGAGTGCGCTTGCCTCAGAAGTTCAGTCGATGGGGGCATGCTTCCAGCAAATCCAGGAATTAAAAATTTTTGTTGACAGATGTAAGCCCAGGTCAAGTCTTGGTTGCATAAATTTGGCTGGATCTGGCTCAATTGCTCCAGCCAAAAGACCATAGCCCATACATACAGTTGTTTTCATAAAAATCAGCACGTTTTTGCCTTCAGATACCACCGCTTGCCCCAAATCAACTGAAGCGCACGCCATGGGTGCTGTAGGTGCTGCTTGAAAGTTTCGGCTGAACACCAAGACATCCGTGTATACAGCTATCCACCGCTCCTTAAGACGCTCATAAAATTTTTAATCAGCTTGGCTTTGCAGCTCAGCTGGGGCAATAACAAATCCAAACGACATACAGGCAAACTCGTGTCTTCGATTGAGAGTATGGAACATCGTTTTTTTTATCTCATTAGGGTGAACGCGAATGACAACGAAAGTGTTTGAGAAGTGAAAGGTCTGGCCGACCTGTGGACACTTTAGTTGGCCAATTGATACGTCAATATAGATTAGATACTCCACGGCATACCCAGGATTACGTCATGCTGCACAGGTCCAAGATAGAAGCCACGTACCATGCTGATAGGATCCAACTCTGTTTTGGGGGAGCAGTTAGCTGCCTTAGCGTTGCCTATCCCTGAGTTCTGCCGTCCCTCAGCAAACCTGAGTCTGCCGGACTGCATGTGCAACTCGCGGTGAATACTCTCAGTTCTTAAAGGGTGCAACTACGCGCACACTGGCTGTCCCTCTAAGCGTATGCCTGAGCCTTTAGGGGTAAGGGTAGGGTTTGAATAAGAAGAGAGATCTTTTTTAGAAAGATAATTAATATCTTTTGATCCAGTTTGCACGAGTGTGGAGGCGAAGTATCACCCTTTGGAGACTCCTGGTGGAGCGTTCTGGCCGGTTTTTCCTGTGTGAGCTCGATTAGCATAATGACAAAAGCCAGAAGTCAAAAGGTGCCGTACCAACAGGATTTCGTATTTTACAAAGTCGCTTGTGTTTTTGGCACAATACGAGTAGCAGCCGAAAGTGTATTGCGGACGATACATTTGTTCCGTTCCCGCCGTGGGGAGGAAAAAATGCAATTTGCGGCATACCTGGAAGTCCCTCTTTCATGCATGTGCATTAATTATGAATCCTTGGCTATGTGAGTCGCTGATGGAGGGAAAACACCACGATTCGCTGGAAATATGCAGGACAGCTCTATAACTGTCGTAACACTGTACGACGCACAACGACCTACAGGGGATGAAGCCGCACAAATAACAAGCACAGCAGGAAATATTGCATCTAGAGACAGAGTTTTGAGCCTGTATACTTATTAAAATGGAAATGATTTTATCATCATCTTTCCTCCTTCGTAGTTCCCCGTAGGGCTGGCGGCACATGCATCCGGAAGCAACGCGTGTATAGAGGCAACACTCCAGCTTCGTGTCTCGCCCTTTCTTCCTTGGATTATCGTCCATGGGGGGAGGTGAGGGAGAGGCGCGAGTTTTCTGTTTATTCTTTACCCTTGCTGGTGGTGTGGCTCTAAGCAAACGATACGCACAGCGACTACAGCAACAGCATGACCGCCCTCGCTGAGCAATACCCTCCATTTCTCCTCCCCCACTACAACCTTCTTCTCCCTGTTTCGTTTTATGGCTTAGTCAATGGCTACCTCTCCTCCTCCGTCGCATATCTCGATGGGTGCTGCGGCTTTTGACCGCGGGGTCCCTTCCTCTGCCGCCGATTCAGCAGCGAGAGGTGGCGTTTCAAGGCCTTATGACAGAGAGCTCTTCCTGGCGTTTATGTCTGCTACGACACGCCTCTTCTGCGACGATGAGCAAATTGTGATTGCTGACTTCCTGGCGCATGAGGAGAAAGCCTACACTGAACGGGATCTTATTGACAGATTGGGATGGCCAGACAAACGAGTAAGAGAAGTCTGCGCCTCGCTTGAAAGGCTCTTACTCATACAAAAAGAGCAGCTTAGTGCCACAAACACACAGGTATTATCTGGCGCAAGCGCGGAAGGAGATGCCTCCTCCAGGTAATTCTTGTCGCTGAATTAGTGAACACCCAAGACCCCAATTGACACCTGCTCTCTCCAGGTAGTGAACTTCGCGAGTCACGGGGTGTATGTGTGTGTCTTCCCCCGCGCAACTTGGTGAATCCCTCCGAATGACAGCTCGTATTCATGCCATCCCCCATAGATATGTATATCCATAGGGAAAGGAAGAGCCCAGCCAGCCATCCTGATCACGACCGATTTCGCATGCAGGTCGAGCGGAATAATCCAGAACTGGAATTGTCTGCCTGCTCGTTATGCGCGCTGAAATGCGCACGCTCTCTCTCGGAGGTTGGGATTTCCGAGGTGTCGAGGGGTGTATGTGTGGGGGAGTCTGTCTGTGTGCCTTCTTGCAGTACGGCTGGCAGCAACACCGAGTCTTCGCGTGCTCCGCTTCCGGGGGGGGCAGCCTTGTTGGGTTCCACGGCTCCCACTGCTGCCCCCTTCTACTACAGAGTCTCTCCATATGCCGTAGCAGTGGTGCAGTACAGGATTGAGCATCTGGATGCCCGCTTGAAGCAGCAGCGTTTAGAGGCGGAGAGTAGAGACGTATTCGCTTGTCCGCTATGCGGCCGCCAGTGGGATGCGTTAGACGCTCAGAGGCTTCGCCTTGATCCAGAGGATGCTACATTTCTTTGCGAGTGTGGTGCAAAGCTGGAGCACGAGGTGAGAATTCCTGCCTCGTGTGCCATCATGACTTTCCGAGGCCTTTCTTTCCTTGCAGGCCTCTTTTTTTCTCCTTCTTTTGCAGCTCTTTATTCCCTGTGCCTTTGTGCGTTGAGAGAAACCTTTTCGAATTGCGTCATCTCAGGCTTTCCTGGTTCTCTCCCGCTTTCTCTTTCGGTTACGGCTTTGCGGCGAATTTCGCTTCTTCGCTGTTCGATTTTATCGGGCTTGATCCGTGCATGGTCACGAGTGTTGTACTTGTGCGCGAGCGGTGAGCTTTGTTTCACAGGATTCTAAGGCGGTAGTCGAACAGTTGGCTTCTTTACAGCGGCGATGCCAGGAGCAGTTGCAGCTGCTGCGTTCCCTGATAAGCCGCTGCTGGGCAATGCGCGTACCCGTCTTCCCGCCCTTCACCCGTGCAGATAAGCACGAGTTCAAAAAGCAGCAAGACAGGATTAGACAGACAGCAGGATCTTCCGTCGGCTCTGCAGCATCCGGAGGTAGCGACTCGCAGCCCAATGCCTCTGGTTGGCGGCAGTCAGGTAGGCTGTCTGGTGACGGGAGAAAGGGCGCCTGTGAGCTGCACGGTTTCGTTCCTCCGCAGAGCTTCTTTACCGCGTTTTTGGCGTTGCCTAGATCGAGGATTCCTTGTGTTGGGGCCTGGCGCGGTGCAGCCACCCGTGCTTGCTATGCTTCTGGTTTGTGAAAGCCTTGTGGAAGAAGAGCCACAAAAGGAGTTTCGCTTGCGCTGCCCGCGTGCAGCTCCCGTTGAGGCAGCAACTGAGGGCATAAATATATTTTTTCCTCTCTCTCTCTCGTGTGTGTATGTCGTGTCGCTTTGGTGACACGGTTTTTTGTCACCGCTTGCTCCCAAAAGGCTTTGGCTCATGTGTTTCAGGGTCCAGTGGAGTTAAGGTCCATGTATTCTCTACGTTACCAGGGCCTGCAGAAGGCGTCAAACGCGCCACACCCGTGTGGCTGCGCAGCGGCGGTGGCTCTGTTTCCTCTGTGCCACCCCTTTCGTCGAATTCTTCGGCGGCGGGCTTTCAGACTGCGCCGTCGTTGCCTGCTGTCACGGATATTCCGGCACAGCCTGCGGGGGGTGCCCTAGAAGGCTCCAACGTGCTTCTTGGGAGGGCGGCTCCTCTCCGCATGAAACCGAGGGAGTCCGCTTCGGGGTCGTCTCCCGGTTCTTCCGTTGCTGGCGGAGGCATACGCGGGCACATCAAGTTCAGCATGAAGTCGAGCAACAAGCTGCTGGCCATGCGCGGCACGCCTGCCAGCAGAGCGGCAGCAGGGAAGGCGCAGCGAGCAGCAGCTGCTGCTGCGGCAGGAAAAAAGGCCCAATCCACAACGGTAGACAGCGGCAAAGGGCCTCCAAATGCAGCCGGAATGAGGGAGGGTTCGGCACGGGGGCAGTCAGATCTGAAGCAGTCCCCCCCAGAGGCAGGGAGCGAGCCTCTAGAGCTAGAGACAACAGCAACCAATGTGCCGCCATCTGCAGCTGCTGGAGCAGCAGCAGCAGCACTGCCAGAAGCCTCGGAACGACTGGAAGAGGCTCCAGGTGCTGCGGTGGCGGAAGAGGCGCCGCGTGTGTTCATTGCCCGCTTAGGCCGCGACTTCACACTTGAAGAGGCCGTCGAATACCAACTGGAGATGTCTATAGAGGAACACGAGGTATTTTCATGGTCGTCTCTTTCTACAGAGACGCTGCTCCAGCTAGCGCTCCCACCCCTCCCATTTTTGTACGGATTTTACCTTCACTCGAAGCCTGTCTGGCCTTCCCTTTCATGAACTTGAATTTTGCGAGTTTTAGGGCTCTCATACATCAATGTGCCACGCGTGCCTTCGTCTGCCGCAGAAATTCATGGAGCTCCAGTCCACTTACCTGGACGACCTGTAAGCCCCTTCAGGGACGGCGCTGCAAGATACATTTCGCTTTCTCTCAGCGATCTTCTACTGAGGGACGTGGGTAAAGGCCCACTGCGACTCTCTGCGCTGTTTGGGCGGGCGCATGCATGAGGCTGCGGTCAGCGATGCCTTGTTCAGCGCCGCTGATATCTGTCATGTCGCTGCTACAGTTACAGCTGCCCTTCGCAGCAGCATGTGCCTTGGCGTTGGCGTTGCTCTACATGTTCTGCGGTGCATGTGCCCGCCGTGTTGCCGCTCTAAGGCTGAACCTTACCAGAATTTTTTGCCTGATATTCTAACGTCCTACTCATATGTCTGAAGCGCTGCTAGCTGCCGCTGGCGTGGCTTTCTTTCGGGATCGTTACGATAGGCGTACACCTGCGTAGGCGAGCCTATTAACATCATATATGTGGGTCTAGGCCATGGTTAGGGTCGAGTCTACATCAGTCGCAAACCTAATTTATCGGCATAGAGAAAACTTTTCTCCAGCGTTACCGTATCTAGCAGTGTTAGGGCGTGTGTTGTCCCGTGGTGTGGGCGACACTGATCTTTCCAGAAGCACTGCTGATGAGTTCAAAGTCTGTGCAGTGCTCCGAAGTGCAGCTGTTCTACGTAAGCGGGATTATGCATTGCTGGTGCAGAAACTCAAGACAGCACTGGGGCCTTTGTATGACTTCAATCCGCAATCATGCACATGGATGTCTGCCTAAGGCTATCAGGACACTACAGTATTAAGCCTGTATTGGGGCTTTTCTCTGGCATGAGCGAGACCTTGTGGTTTTCAAGGTCCAGACACTCTGTTTCGTGGATGCAGATCCTCCTGCATGACGTTAATAAGCTGAAATTAAAGAAATGTGGTGCGTCTCAAGTCAGCTGAGGTGCGATGCCTCCGCGGGCCTTCCTCCGCGTCGAGACGGAAACCAACAAAGAATCGAACTGCTGCGGCGGGGTGCTGCTGAAAGGAGCAACAAGGCTCCAGACCTCCTCCATGGCTCAAGCAGCTCAGCCTGAATTTTGAAGTTGGAGGCCTGGTTCCCCGTCACGCTTAAGCTGCATGCCCCGGGGTCAGGTCGTGCCTGCTGCACTTTATTCCCCCTGCAGAGAGGTCTGGCATGGAGAAAAGAGCAGGGCTTTTGAAAGCTCCACGTCGGTGTTGCATGTTCGGATGGCACACGGGAAATATATATATATATCTCAATATATACACTAAACGTTAAAGGTACTATACATATACCCAGCGATCCAACATAGCGTACAGTTGCACGATGCTTCGGCGAACCGCAGCGGCTTTGTGATACAGAAACAATGAGTCGCCCTCGCTGGCATGTTCAAAGACCCTACCACACTACTCTGGGTACCCAGAAGCGGCATTGAAGCTCAGCAGCGGGAGGCTTTGGGCTGTCGAGTAGCAGCCAGCTGCAGAAGAAAATACGTAGGGTGGTGAATCATGGTGCAGCTCAAAATACTTCCGCTTCCTGCACTTCATAGGCCAAGCCACCTGCTGGCAGTAGCTCTGCATACGCGTCACGTGTGGGAACGAATGTCTGGTCGTCGTCCATGAGCACTGTAGGGCTGGCGGCCGTTGAGGTATCACCAATAGCCTCCGGCGACTCAATGCTCCAGCCCCGAGTCACTGAATGCATACAGTCACAACATCAAGGGCACGATGAAGCTGCTTCTCTGAGCGAGGAGGCTCCGATTGACTTCAACCCAAACGCTACCAGCTAAGTGAAAACCACCACCAGCGGATTGGAGAGCACGCCGGATACGCATTCGCTGCCTCAGGGTAATATGGGGCCCCCAACACCGGCTCGAAATTTTAAGCGTTTATATAAGGCAGGCGAGTGCTGACTCCGTGGGCTGGTGAGGACAGCAGCGAGGCGCCGTTTTCTGATGGCTTGGAATCTATCAGAGGCCATCCGCACTTGGAATTTCCAATCAAAGAGACTGCAGCCAAGCTGGGCAGCGTCTGCAAGATCCTAAGCACCAACCAAGCAGCAAATAGACACTCAAGCAGTAAACCCCTGCACGCGGAAATAAGCAGACATCGCAGTGCCATCTACTTGTAGAGTTGCACCGGCAGTGCTGCAGGCCTCTTGGCAATGCAGTGAAGAAAGACACATGCGAGGGTGCAAATGAAGGGAACAGAGGAATGCAGTCGGCCGGAAGCGCAACTGACAAGCTCGAGGCCGTCGAAACGAGAAGAAGCCCACGGATGAGCCTGCGTTCGCACAAATCATAGGACGAATGTCGCCGCAAGGCGTCAACAAGAATTGGGGGATTTCACGCCACTTGAGCGGTTTGGCCGTGCAATTATAAAGTGTCAGGAAAACAAAGCATAAGTAGTTTAGGGGAAATCCCCCAGAGCTCGGCAAACAGGCGAAAAATCATCCCACCGCCGCTCCAATGAGGACCACATGACCTTCCCGGAAGCTCCATGGTGCATCAGCCCCTTTGGGAATTTTGCAGCTCCGTAAACTGGATGATATCTTCAGACCAGCCAACACCGCAGCCACCGAGTCAACGCTCTGCCCAGTACACAACTCACTAAACTGAATGAATCTTTCCTTCTACTAGCGGTTGCTCGGCGTCTTCCCCGGTTTAAAAATCAAAGACTAGGGTCAAAGTAGCTTGATTGCTCTCAATAAGTGCTCATTCAGGTTTCCTTATTCTGAATGTGCCAGAAGAAACGCAGCATGGCTCTTCCGTAGCACCAGCCACACCCTTCTACAGGATATACTCACGCTGCTTGAGTGAGCTTCGTCGATCATCCCAGGATGCTGCCCCGCCAGCATTGTTGCCGGTTCCGTCTCCGATGCATGAGTTGTTACAGGCGTCTGAGGAGCCATATCGCGCACTCTTCAAAAACTGCCTAAGCTGGAGTCTGGTAGACACGAGCGAGGTCATGAATCACAAGTGCGAACACCGCCGCGGCTACAGGAGACGGTACTTCCGCAGCCCAATGAATGGAAGGGGAGACTTCACTTGATCATTTCATCGGAGAATATTCATCAAGGTGTATCGAAGTCAGGTGGATGGTGTTCTGTTCATGTGGCATAGAATCTCACTGAAGGTGAAAGCGAGGCCATGAAAGAGAGAACCCTCCTCTCCCCTTCGTTCAGCAGCGCGACTTCAAGGTCACTGGGCCGCCTGCTGCTCTTAGAGGCCCACACCTCTGGAGGCGTCAAGCCTTCAGGAAGGGAATCCTTGCCCTCCTGACTACTCCTAAACGCATGATCAAGCAGGTAAAAGCTATCTAGTCCCTCGGTGCGTAGCCGAGTCTAAAGCTGCAGAAGAACAGTGCAAGTTTGCCGTAGCAATAAGGAAACACCGGCTTACGGCTCCCGTAGAAGCTCCTGAAAGGGGACTGTGTCAGTTGCCACTACCACCAGCTCAGCCTTTATAACAACGCCATCTTTAAGAGTCACAAGGACTGGACGGCCTTCCTCTCTCCCTTCGTCTTCATCCGTTCTTGAAGTGAAAGAAATGCTCCTGATGGGACTAGAACGCCAGAGAAACGAAGATCCCCCATGTCCTCCAGTTAAGTGAGAACTTAAGATGTCTCTCAGATGGCTAGATGTCAGGCGGGAGTTCAGATACACGCTACTACTTTTTGAGGCGCCACCGGCACAGGCATCGTCCTCGACGCTCATGAGAACTGTCCGGTACAGATCCGCGTTTATTGCCCTTACAGCGTCTAGACACCTGGCAGAAAGAATATACGACATTTCCTCTTCTTGCTCTCTCGATGTTACCTCCTCTCTTTTCACGTCCAGTACACACACAGCACGTCCCGTGCGTGAGCGGATGGCCACTGCGGCAGCGAGGCCTCCAATGCTGGCTCCAATAACAACAACAGGTACACTAGCTGACTTGGCTTCAAAGAGCGCTTCTGACTCGATGGACTCGGTTGCATCAGAGTGGATTCGGGCAGATGCCCGTCCCGTCTTTATATTTGCCATTATGGCTAAACTCTGGCACGATGGTCAAAGGCACTAATCGGAATGTGGACAGCTCTACAAAACACCGGTTGAGGATGACGTATTTTGCCGAAACTCTCAAATCAGTGGGGGCTCCGGAAAATGAGTTTATCGGCTGTTCTGAGGATGGTGGTGGCAAGGGGGAGTTCTTCTTTGGTCTCCAGCCCTTGCTCAGAGCGAAGACAGACGCCCAGCCGGGTGGCTCGCGGGGTGAGGAAGACTTGCTTGCTAACCCAAAAGCCTCAGCAACACTTCTGAAAGCTTGCTTTTCAGCTTCAGCAGGGACAAACTCACTGAGATCTCAAAAAAACGTCTGTGGAGCCCAGTCACCGCTGACACTGGGGAAGTTGTCAGGAAAGCTCCTGCTTATGAACGTAAAGCACCCAAAGTGATGGGAAAAAGCATAATTCTGAGAGTTAACTCGGAGGTACAGCATAGAAAACTCGGCGGTACTTGTTCATTACGCGGAAGTACGACTGATTTCTGCTACGGTCGTGTGAGCAGAAACACGGCGGCTGGTCCACGCAGTGCCGCTCGGGAGACAGCTAAGGGCTTCGGGGACTAGAACTTCGTGCTTGTTGCCTGAATCTTTGCCCTGAAGTAGAAAAGAAAACCGTGTCGGTTACGATTGGGGACGACAGGGGAACTGGCAGGTGATGGAAAAACCGCAGTACCGTTGCCACCAGCGCCTGGCTGCAAAAACGTGAACCGCGCCGTCTAGTTCGGGATGTTCACGTTTTCGTAAGTACCTATTTGACCAGACGAAGCCAAAATAAAACAAGCTAGGCGTTTAAATCAGAAAATGCAAACTGAAAACTTGCGAGACACTTGGCACTCCCTGCCATTGACGTGAGCGACGGGTCCCATGGTGACCGACCGAGGAAGTCGGCTCTAATGGTGGCATCAACCTCCACATGGAAAAAGGGATATGGCCATTCCCGATAGTGTTTTTGACTAAGCAAAATAATAGTTTATGAGATTCATTATATTTCTATAAATATTGCAAATTCCAGTCGTAAAGGCTGGGTCACCCTTTTACGGCGGCAGCTGCGAATTGAAATCTACCCGATAGCAGAAGCATAAGGAACAACTGGTCTATTCTTCGTGTATAAGCGTTACTAAGGACTGTTTGTAGGCTTTGAAGCTTATCAGTCATCGAGTATGCTACTATATCATGGTTGTCATGGGAAAAAATCACTTTCAGTGTCTTTTGCGTGGTCGTGCGCTGTGTAGCTAACGCGCTTTTACATCACACTATCAGGTCAAGCCCCTGTCGTGGATCTTTCCTGGATGCCTTCGGTAAATTGCTCCTACTTCTATTTAGGGCGCTAGAACAGTCCCGAGGCGAGTCACGGCTGGCCACTGTCCACATTTGCTCATCGCCATTTGAAACGGTGTGAGTACGGTCTAGTCCGCTACGCATGCCAGTAGACATGGTAAGGTTACTCATTTATTCATGCATTGACTTTGCGTTTGGACCGTTTTATATTCCAAATACTTTGGAGCAGCGATAGTTCCTTCACCACGCATTACGTGTGACTGCGTGTAGACGAGCTAGGTTGCGATGTGCAAGTGAGCGCGACAACCCGGAGTGCTCAGAATATGCGGCATTGCGTACCTCAGCCGCTTTTCCTCCCTCAGATCGGAATGCTTAGGAGTAACGGCAAGGAAAGGGGGGGCTTCATCGTGAGGCCTTTCCTAACACTCTCTTGAGCTCGTTTCTTATACTTGAGGCTACGATGCCTCCATATAGAAACCGTAGATGCAGTCACACAAGGCTGCCGTGTGGAAATATGTGTCAATGCTCAGAATTCACAGGAAATGCAGCCCCCCAAACTCAAACTGCCGTCTTTCTCATCATCCGTAAACCCTGTGGGGAGAGAGCAAGGAGTGGGGGTTGCTGTACTGAAGCGACATCTACTGGCTTCTTACGTTTATGTCTAGTGTTGAGGATACAGATTTTCTTTAGAAAAATTGAAAAAGTAAGTGTACTCTCATAATATGTGAATCGAGCCATAAATACTCTAGAATTAGTGCACGAGGTTTGTCAGAGCAGCAGTCTGCAGCCAGAGCTGGGCCAAGTGCACTTGGAGTGGGTAAAGTGCTCTTCCTCCACGGTCCCACCTCAGTGCTTATGTATCTGAAGCTGGACAGCAGGCTCTGGCTTTTGCCGTTGACACGGTGTATGGCATGCCAAAACAAATATCCACATCTGAAGACCACAAGAACCATCACTTGCCATCCCTGATCAAGGATGGCACTGAGTAATTTGTGCACTTGTGGCCCAGCTGTACCATTCCCACAACAGACGGAACCTAACTAGTCAAAAAGATGTTGGTTCTGGGGTGGGAACCTCCATACTTTTGATAAGACTCAGCAACGCAGAAGAGCCTTTCTCTTCTCCGTGCATGGTGTACTAGCAACGAAAGCTGTATCTGCTTTTGAGTGGCATGATACATGCATATGAAACCATTGGGCACAGGATGTGCCTTACGACGTTCATTGACTGATAAACTCCTCTAATAAAGCCCAAACCTTTCGTGATAGGGAGACAAAGGAATTACTTGAGAATGCAGAACACCGAAGTGCAGGAATCCCTCAAGTTCCCCACATCTATATGAATATCGATAAGTGCACTTAAACAGTGCCATTTAGACACAGTTCAGAAAAGGGCGAAACTCGATAACTGGACGGGATACGGTAATAATTGCAACCACTGGCTCAAAATTATTCACTTGCCCTTCGCTCCAACCTTAGCCCCGGAGAGAGCGGCAGCCTGCACCTTGCTGCTGACGGTCGACATGGCTTTTGCGCGCCCGTCCTGATAACAGAAAAAACAGCGTTCCTGCTAATATTATAATGGTAGCATTGGGTCCAGCGAATGTAATATGCAAGAAACAAATAAAAACAAACAACATCCTGCTGCATTTCACTGCTACAACAACGGCAGGCCGCTGCAACGACTGCCTCCGTTCACCCAAAACCTGCAGGCTTACGGGAATCTTGACGAGGACTAGACAGTCACCATCCACTTCATCCACCCGGAAGTAACCTCTGCGCTCTAACTGTAACTTGTCTCCTGCATGCACCATTCCACCAGACATAGCTCTTGTGAACAGGTATGTCGTAGCGCAGAGCACTCAATCGACAAACGGGATACACGGAAGCCTTGACGCGCAATGAAGAAGATGCAAAGCAATTTCAGAAGTAAAAGTAGAAAGACAGCTGATTTAACAAGACACACGATTTCACCGCACGCCTCAGACATTATAGCCACTAGTCAGCTGTGTACTGAGAAAGTCAGCCTGACCAGTTTTTAGGCTTCGAAGATTGGGGTCTCCAAGGGCCTCCGTGTCAAACTGGGTGTTCCTGTTTACGCAATCTTCCCATGCTTCGTCTGTTTCCTGTTCGAGCTTGTCCACAGTGATGAGATGATCGAACTCGCGCAGTATCAGAGGGGTCAGCTGCTCACAAAGCATAAAGCAAAAATTACATTCTTTCCCGGCGGAGATGGCAAAGAACACTCACAGGCCAGATCGCAAACGACATTTAAGGGACAGAAGGACGCGTTATTAAAGTAATCTCTTAATAGAGTGCCCCGCCCTGCAACGGCACTTTGGCGTACTCTCTCACTCTCCGGCGGAAGAATAGGCACCCAGTTGAGCTTCTTTTTTGTTTTTTTAAAGTCCCCCTCTAGATGGAGCTTCCCGCGGATTGCTGTAACCTTCCCGTTGGCGTCCTTCTCGAGATGCTCAAAAATGCAGTTGCCCCAGTGCATTAAAGTCACCTGAAGCGGCAAAGGAACCAATGTGCTTTTGGCCATAACAGAGCGTCCTTGCACTACAAACCTGCAAAGACTTTTCCGTGCCAACTCCGACGTCACTCGATTTCGCCCTCTGAACCCTTTAGCCAGGGGCACCCCAATTGGGTGTACAGCCGTGTAACCATGTAGCACCTCCTCTCCATCTTGGCAGACTTGGGCATCATCAGCTTCAATAAGAATCTGGTTGCTGAGGTACAGCGGCACATGGCCAAGCGACTTGTTCTTCGCATGTAGCCGGCGAGATTGTGTTGTGACGCTCTCTGGGCCACCTGTGATGGTAACCGTCACTCCATCCGCTGTGACACGCAGCGCAAAGCGACGAAAGACTGCCGCTTGACCCACACTTGGCCATGTCGTGATTCTAGCCCAAACTCGTCTATGCTCAGAGCCTTGCGCATGCTGAATCCTTCAGAGCCTACTTCAAGAAGCGTCCACGATATGACTAAAGCCTAAGCAACAGCCTCGGGCACGCTAGCTAATTGCCAGAGAAGCTACCCCGCCTCCATGCGCATACGTAAGAATGGGTCCTACATTTCAACGAGGTGTCTTTCGTCATCACCCTGTACATTTTAACGGCATCTACATCTGTTGAAGACGGCCTCCCCTGCCTCCTGGCTTTTCTCGATTGTCTTAATTGCATGGAGGGCAGGCAGATCGCTCACCTCTCGATACTGCCATATAGCGCGGCACGATCGGGTCGATAATTTGTTTGTTCAGTGTCCAGAGTTTATCCCACTCCATCAGGTTTCCGGCTTTAGAGGGTCCCTGTTGCAAAATGAACTCCAGAAGGGCTTCAACAGTCAGCCCACGGCGCAAGATACCTGAGCAGCAAAAGGCAAGTGAAAACAGAGATGCCTGTAGCCTTTGCTGAAAGCTGGTTCCTCATAAAGCTGCAGCAACAGTGCAGTGTAGAAGTGTAGCCTTTGCTGAAAGCTTTTTTCTCATAAAGCTGCAGCAACAGTGCAGTGTAGAAGTGTAGCCTTTGCTGAAAGCTTTTTTCTCATAAAGCTGCAGCAACAGTGCAGTGTAGAAGTGTAGCCTTTGCTGAAAGCTGGTTCCTCGTAAAGCTGCAGCAACAGTGTAGCCTTTTCTGCAGCTGCTGCCTCTGTGGGCCACCCTTAAGCTAGCGATACAAGCGCTGCAACAACAGCTTGTTCGAGTGCAGGAGCTGCAACAAACGCAGCCTTTGAATGCATACCCCGTACAGTGGGCATGCGAGGGTCATCCCATCCGGTGACCAGCCCCTCAGTGACAAAGTACTTGAGCTTGCGTTTTGAGAGGACCGTACGAACAAAGCAGAGCCGGGAAAACTCATAAATGCAAACCTTGCGAAGTCCAAGAGCTTCTTGGACCTGCACGCCAGCGAAGGCACAAACCGACCGCAATACAACTCCAGCGAGTCGTCTGAAGGGGGCGACGTTTTGCACGAGAAAGCAATTCCTCCTGCACAGGCAGCAGCTACTCGGAACGTGCAGTTAAGACTCTGGAGGATTCGGAAGCCTCATGCCACAACCAGCTCACCCAGTGGTACTGTGGGATTCTGTCTGCATATTCGTTGGTCCTCAGAGCATGCGTGACCCCTTCCCAAGAGTCAACAACCGGGCAGGCAAAGTCGTAGGTGGGATAGGCCTTGAATTTCGTGCCAAGTCGGTGGTGAGGGGGATCCACAACACAGCGGAACATTACGGGGTCGCGCATGCACTTATTCTTGCACTGCATGTCGATCTTCGCGCGAACGCAGCATTGCTGCCCCTCTGCCGTTCCCTGTGAAGGAGGAAAACGCACAAAGTCGCGAAAGCACCCATTTCATTTGTTCGCAACCCCCCTCCTGAGGGTTGCATGCCTGGATCAAACGAGACGAGCAATTCCCCCTTGGCAGATCCGAGCTGCTGTGACGCAGTCCACAGCCCACCTGTATCATTTGCTCCCAACGGCGCAGGTGCTCCTCAACAGGCAAAGCGCGCGAGGCTGACTCTATACCTTCCCCTCTTTCCAGTCGCATCTGCTCAGTAGGAGTGTTGTCTACGTAAAAGACCCCTGATCATGCAGGAACGCCAGCACCCAGAAGCAAGCACAACGATACACTGAACATGGACGGCAGAGCGCAAAGAAGAAAAGAATTCAAGCAAGAGCCAAAGCGCGTAGGACGTTGCACGATGTGACCGGAAGAATATCCCCCTGCATCATGCCCTGTACGGATTCCGCCATACGCAATACCCCCGAAATTACTGACCCTTCTGAATCATTGCGGTGCATGTGTCTTGCAGCTGCTCAATGTAGTCTGAGGTGTGTGTTACACGTTCCCACTGGACACCTAGGAGCTCCGTATCGTGCAAGATGCTCTGCTCGAATTCGTCGTTTTCCTTTGCCGGGTTTGTGTCATCAAATCTGAAAACACAACGGCCACGCCAGGAGATAGCGGTTTGTTTCTGCCGCGAAGACTGCAGCGCTACTGCTGACTGCAGCCGCTGCATCGGCACAAGTGGCTAGCTGTGCGCGCACGCAGCAGCCGCATATGCGGCTGCATGCGCCACAAGCGCTACCTTGCACAAATGGTGCTGCCGCTTCCGCCGTTTTGGAGGCGCCTTCAAGGCAACGCAGCAGAAAACAGCAGCAAAAACACGTGCAACAGAGGCACACGGTACCTGAAAATCATGCGTCCTTGGTATTTCTTCGCGAAGTATCCGTTGAGGAGAGCAGCTTTTGCGTGACCAATATGCAGATATCCTGAAGGTTCCGGTGGGAAGCGAGTCACCACGCGGCCCATCTCTGCCCCCTCCAGTTTTCCTGGGCAGCAAAAAGGCAGAATTCCAATGCCTCCAGAGTGAGTTTTCGGCGTTCATTAGTTACTTGAACTGGCTGTGCGGCGCCTGCAGCGGCTATCCGTGTACGCCTTTTGCGGTTACTGCCACATTTGCTGTTCCTGCCGTCACCAGTACTGCGGCTGCTGCTCCCAACGATGCCCTTCTTCTTACCTTCATATGAAGCATGGCCTTCAGTCTTCTCTTTGCCCTTCGCTGCTGCCCCCTTCTCCGCAGCAGCAGTAGAAACGGCTGGTCTAGGACCTATAGCCTTCTGCTTGAGAGCTCGCTCAATAGGACCCCGTACTTCCTTTAGTCCGTGCATGTAGTTGTACCATCGGATCAATGCAGGGTACTGCGCAGTCCTGAGTAGAGGGCAAAGGCGAATGCGGTTCGCGAAAGCATCTCACAAGGAAAGGGCCCCTAGGCAGTGCAGCGTAGGTTCGACCGCGTAAAGATAAGGTCCACACGCGACACCAAGGCTCCAACTCCAAGTAAGTGCACGCAGGCAGTGGGGGGCAATAGTTCCTACCATTTCTCCGGGAGCGCGCCGGTCTTCTCAGCGCCTACAGCAGTTCTTAGCTGTACGTACACCCCAATATCAACAAGAGTGAGTCGGTGACCAGACAAGAAAGTACGGAAGCCCAAATATGCATTCATTTTTTTCAGCCCGGCGTCCTTAGGGGCGCTTGAGGTGTAGAAACTGCCCGAGAAGGGGCATCCAGACAGAACGGTTAGCAAGGCATCCAAGAGGACCTCGCCCTCCATGTCAGGGAGAAGCTGCAGAAAAAGAAACAGCATCACAGAGCACAGGGATAAGTACCAGGGAGCTAACCGCCAGCGAAAGTTCTACGGAAGGAAAGCAAGCATGCAGACACTGTTCGGCGTAAAGTGCGCACAGTCTCTCCCTGAGATGTGCAGCGAGCTATGCGCTTCGCAGCTTCAAGCTCCGGCAGAACCTCTACAGATGGATTTTCCTGTTGCTCTTGCTGCTGTTGCAGCGCGACCAGTCCAGCGTCCTCTGGACGGTCCGTAGAACAAAATGCAAGCTGCTTCGAGTTGAGCCCTTGCAGTTGCGCGAGAGCCAAGAGGAGCAGCGGCGGCTGCTTGGGATCAAACGCGATCGTGAGGGTGCTGGGTGCCATCCTCGAAAGAGACAGAGTGTGGCGCGTTTCCTGGTGATGGATAGCACCGCTACCCCTAACAATTCGAAGTACGGATAATTTCAAAGACGGAGTACGGCGACAGTCCCCGAGGAACGGTATGTGGGGCCCTGCATGCGCAGTGGGGGGCCCCTCACCGCCCTACCCTGACCAAGCCAAAAGTTCCAGCGCTCCCCCAAATCATGAACTCGCATCAATAAAGCATCATCCCCGCATACAGACGCTGGCACATGACTTTTAGGCCGGAGTTTTTGCAGATGTGCCGTTGGAGGCGCTTAGCTGTGCCGGTGGACTGCGCCGGCTCAGCCTCGGAACTGCCGTTCTTACGACGTTGCTCGAAAGAAAGAGGCAGAGCGGAAGTGTGCGTGGCAAACACAGCTGCCTCATCCGTGTCATAAAAGCACTAGCATTGACGTGTATCAACCGATAAAAATTGCCTCCTCATGCCCTGCACTCCGCTTGTACGAGGCTCCGTGCCATTCCTGCTCGGACCCTGCCGTGAAACTGGCTGAAACTACCCTTCCCTACTCCCTCGATAAAACGGATTAACCTCAAACTGGTCAATACCATTCGCGCGAAAGCGAAGAGGGCAACTCCTACTGCGCGCCAAGAAGGACTAATTTCAAAAGTTCCTAATCGAAGTTCCGCGGGCCAAACTACACTTTGGCTTTCCCCAAAGCTCTAGACGCAAATTGAAATATTCGTTTTTCTGTTTGTTTATGCTTTTGCTTCGGAGCAACATTAGCTCGATGCAACTGGATTGATTAGGGTGTGCCTGTGCGGTACTTATAGGCGCAGTCAGCTGGGAATGCTCTGTGTGCTTAGCGGCCGCAGCAACTCGCGTTCTCGCCCCACCCCCCCTTACCTCGGAGTTCCGGCGTGAGGGGACAGAGCAGAGGGGGGTCAAACACTTCTGGGCGGGCACTCAAACTTCCTTCAAAGTTAGGTGCTGTGTTTCGGGGTTCGTGTCTCTGTGTCGAACCTGGGAGGAGCCCTCATAAGAATACTTTTAGACGGCTTTATGGGTATTGGAGCTCACGGAAATGCTCTGCAAGGCTCGACTGCATCACTAACTGGAGTCGCAACTGTAGGCCAGCTCGCTCCACCACTATCCGATCGCCTCTCTCCACAAACCAGGCCAAAAACAACAAACCACTGTTGGAGTACAGCTTGCTGTAGTACCCTGGCACTGTAGACGCGTCTCTGCTCACTTTCTTCGAATCTAAGGAGGGCTCCAAGCACTAACACCTTAAGAATTAAGGGACCTGCGCACCCGTAGTCTATCAGGGCGCTCAGCCCCAAAAGGTCGATGCACATTCACGGTTGGTTATATCGTAGCAGAATGAGGATTTTGCGTGACGAGAATGGTAGGGAAGGGTGTCATCCCAACCTCTGTTTTAGTTGCATACTATCTACATTGTCAGACTTATGGGGTAACTGAGCATTTCTATGGGCAGGTGTAAGGAATGGGCAATGAACAAAACTTCATTTTTAGCTAGCTGGTTGTGGCTGAAACGGCATTGCCGTTCACTGCGCCAATGTGGAAGCTATCACTCCAAAGCCTCGACTTCTTTTGCACGCAGAAAGGCACACACAGGCAATCATGAATGACCACCGAACAGTCATTCACCGAAGATTTCGCGTAGAGGTGGCTTCTGTCCCAAAGTATTGAATCTTTATGAGTATAATGGATACCTATTAATGGTTTGGCGGCCCAATTTGCAAGCATCAGCCGGTCAAGGAGCATGTAAATGTGAAAACAGCAAGCAGTCCCATGGGCGTCATTGTGAAGCATTGGCATTGATTCCCATAGCAACAATAATACTTAATCGCTCTTCAGATACAGTCTGCAGGGATTTCGAGAAAGTTTGAGGAAAACCTGGACAAATGTGCTGCCCCGACAGCTACTCCATCGCCTTAAGACAGCCCAGGAAAGCACTGGAATCCCGCATTAAACGCCATTAAAAGAGCCCATTGTCTTATGGAGCACTGGTGTGTGGAGGAAATTACTTAAGATGACAGGTTAGTTGCCTGGCTTGACACTTCATCTAATATCTCCATGGGGAGACGCTGAAGCCCAGACTCAATATGCAGCACAAGAGCTAATTTTTCCATATTTTCTTTCAAAACCTGCTTCCTCCCATCAAGGCTCTGACATGAGGGGAGAGAAGAAACTGGGTTTTGCGTAGCGGTACCCTCCATTTTGTGTTCACAGCAATTAGAACATGGCATCTAGCGTACACACGAACGTTATTACGTCTTTTCGCATCGAGCACACAGCACTCTGCAATAAATAAGAGATACGAACGGACAAGCCCAGCAGTCAATTATTTACTAATTCTAAGTCAAGATAACACTTACTAGAAGATTATTAGGTGTAGCTTACCCCGCAGCATGTACAAATACAGACGCATTTGGGCTTGGCTATGGCCATATCTTTCTTTCGAAGTTGGGGTATACGAGTGCAGCCGTATCAGGACCCTTCTTCCCCTTGGTCTGCACTGCCAAGAGACTGCACAAAAGATGCTGTATTCACCCAACAGGTTACTCGCGGAGCGCTTTCCCTTTTTAGACAAGCTAACCGTGCTTCGCGCCGCTTAGCTTGGGAGTTCTGATGGGATCCGGTGCACTGGGCTCATGGTGAACGACGGCGTGCCCGGAAAGGCGATTGCACTGCTGAACACAATTATGCTCATGCTATAACGCAGCAGGGCTGCCACTTGCCTCTTCCAATCAAATGGTGCTCCTCTCATACTCGTTGAACACTTGCAAGTGAAAAGACAAGTCCTAACGCATCTTGGAGAGTGGAGGGTTTAAACTTGCGTTTACGCAAACAGAGTTGCGTCGCCTTCATTTTTTTAGAGTGATGAGCACTTACCATCTATCCTCTCGAATATGCAAAGGTGAGGTATTCGCTGCTCTGGTGGACTGTGAGGAGTTGTAGCATCATAGAATCTTCGAACATGAGCACGTGTACCCGCAGAAGAAAGTGGTGGAGTGGGTCTGTGGCGGTCAGTAGCCTCACACTGCGATCGAAAGAATCGACTCCCAGGCTTTCCAAATTTCTGGGTACACAAAGGTCTGGTTGAACTCTTCATCATTCAACGAAAAGGGCTGAAAAGCTGTAGGTCCGAAAGAAACACTTTTTGATGGAGGGAGCTTCCGGAACGGGGATTATCTAAAACTGCTTTAGAGATACGTGCGTCATGATGCAATTGAGGTAGTTGGAAGCAACTAGGCTATGCTCCTCACTTGTGTCTCCTAATGTGCCTGCATCATCTGATATGTCTAAACCAGCAACAAACGGCAGTTGCTATCTATGTCTGAAGGAAATGCTTGCCTGACGTGACCACACGAGTGGTCCAGAACAAACAACATTTTTCCTAGTGCTTTTGTACAACCAAGCCACATTAAATCCAGCCAGGAGTTATTCTAAATTATTGCTACACTTTGTTAACAGAAGCCGGTGCCACATCTTACTGAAATGGGGGTCTCAGTGGATACAAGTGACGTAGTGCAGGAAAGCAGACCGTCCTTGAACAAGCAATTCACTCCATGGTTTTCGAGCAACGAATTAAAGGAGGATAAATCTCGAATATTAGTGTCTTTCACCGTTACCATGTTCCATTTGACTGGATGCACATACACCACTCCATGCGTCTCCAAAACGTTAGGAGAAATCAAACTCCAGATAAACTCAGTTTGCAGCCTTTTTGGTGCTTTGCAGCTCTGTTCCGCTTGGTTGACCGTAGCAGGATCGGCCACAACAGGCAGGAATAGATACTTTCTCGTTTGGTTATTTGGTTCTTGCCTGGTGGGCTCTGCTTTATTATTCCTAACGCAAAAATTCTTCACTGTGTGGCCAATAATGCTTTGCGACTTACGAATCGTTTGAGATATCCGTGGCGGGTACTTGTTCGCAACTGTCGGCTGAGCATGCGGCACAAGCCAGCATGATAGAACGCGCTTCCTTTGCATCTTTGAAGATGCCCGGCGGGGCTGTGGCCCTCTGCCTCTACAAAAAGGCGTAGTGGCAGAGGGACACGGCCATCTTGTACATCATGTGAAGAAAGAAAATACTACATTTCTGCTTTGTACAAACTGGCTACCCTAATTTGAATAAAAATTTCGCAAATCGCATATCCACACTTATAAGCGGATCTTTTTGCTTTATCACGTTGTTCTTACCTGCTACAGTGATGTAATATTACGAAGTCACCGTGGGTATCTCCTCGTCCCCGTGGCTTTTGCGGTCTCTTGGAGGTCTGAGATTTCTGCGTAAGAACGAACCTAGACGGAAGGGCAGGTGTCCCAACGCATTCACCACTGTATACATGCGCAAGGCATGCAGAAGCCGGACACACAACAGCATTTTAAACAGTATCTCTAATATTTGCTGTTCAGTTGAGGCACAATTACGTTGGGTTTCGAGGACATGTGTGTCTACAAGTATATCGCCGTCCGTAAGATTGTGCTGAATCCTTGAAATTGCACAGCTGGAAAGTTGTACGCCTAAATGTTTAAGTCTTCTCTAGCACAGGCTTCTCTCAGAAGTTTTTTGTATTGCATGCCTGCTGGCATTGGACAAATTTCAAAACGTATATGAGGTCGCTTAATACGATGAAATGGGTTTTCAAGTCAGAAAGGCTGTTTGTGCTGGCAATGTTTTGGCTGGAATTTCGGGTAAAATTTTGTAGTTCACCACTAGTGTCTTTGCTCTAACAACAGACTCTCTTATTTGATATTCTTGAATTCACTACACCCTCAAGGCAAAGCATTCCGTGATCACAAAAGAGGTGCCATCACCTCTTTTCCAATACCATCTTTGACACCAACCGTGTGAAATTCCAACATTGATATAATCATGCTGTTTGGTGCAATCGTGATTCAAAATTTATGCTTATTCATTCAGTACCTTGCAAGCCGGCTTGATACTACTGTTTTATACGGCCTCGTACATCATACCCACACGACCTAGTATT